ACTGTACTCATGGTGGAGTGTGTGGTATTACAAAAGAGACTCATCGGAGGCCATGGCTATCTCGATACCTGGCATCATTTGTGAAGCACCACAATCCTGAAGCCAATTTTTCTGCTCTTCAGATCTCATGCAATGCTCCGGTGTCATTGCATAGAGATAGTCACAATGAGAAGCATTGCTGCAATTATGTGTGTGGCTTTGGTGACTATAAGGACGGTCAGCTGTGGGTTGAGGATGAGAAGGTTTTAGGGGAAGGAGCTGAAGCGGTGGAGCAATCCTATGGGAAGAAAGTCTTGCCTGGAAAATTGGTCAATATCCACTGGAACTTCATGTCGTTCTTTCCGAGAAAATTGCATGGACCTATGCCTTGGAAAGGGAACAGGGTATCTTTGACAGGGTACACACCTGTTTTTATGGAGTGTTTGAGCTACAAGGATAGGTGCTATCTTCTCCAATGTAAGTTTCCTCTTCCGGAACCACGAGCTGAAGAAGGTGAAAAAAGAAAATGGTTAAAAATGACGTTGAAAGAGACCTCGCTGGACGACATTGCGGAGGAAGTCGACTATGCTGTTTTTGAGGCGCAACAATGGGCTCTAGAGGAGCATTTGAGTATTCGACGCCTAATTGCTGAACAGGAAGGTTGTGTTTTGGACGAGTTCCATGAATCGGCCAATGAGTCGAATGGGGAAAAAGGATCAGAGACTAGAGAATGGCTGGTTAAAGCAAAAAGAACAGAGGAACAGCTCTCGAAGTTTTTGGTCAAAGCAGCTCAAGTTCAGCAAATGGTGCAAGAAAATATGGCGCTTGAGGCAGCAGAGGAAGTTGAGTTCCTGCAAACAAAAACAATTCCTACACAAGAAGCCACGCAAGAGCTGGAAAAGTGGAGGGAATCATTGTCGGACGAGGTGACGTCTTTGGTTAAAGAGTTGGAGGTGGTGGAACCAACAACTCAAGAAAAGCTGGACAAATTGGCGGAAGAGCCTAATGCACCGGTGATTGAGTACGTGCCCAGTCTGGTGGTGTTTACCCGGAAACAAGGGACGGGGAGGCGACGTGCCCGTATTTGTGCATGCGGCAATTTTATTTCGTCAACAGCAGCTACAGAATACGAAGGGCCGAGGTCCCTTAGTCGTCACTCGCTGTACGCTCCTGGTTTAGATTCAACTACATTTAGGTGTCAAGTGAGGCACGCAGCATATATGGCGTGGATCATCGCTGGTTTGGACATTTCCAAAGCTTTTCTGACGGCGCCGATGAATAGGGCGCAAAGAGAAGGGCGTCTGGTGGTGGTGCAGCCCCCAAGGGCAGCGGTGAAATTGGGTCTTTGCACAAAGGAGGAGCGGTGGATTGTGAGGAAGGCCTTGTACGGTTTGGCCGAAAGTCCTGCAGCATGGGTGGAGTGGCGAGATCAGCGTCTTCAAGGCATGTCTTGGGTGTCAAAGGATGGACAAGCAATGAGCTTTCAGAGGTCCAATGCAGACCCAAGTCTGTTCCTTATTATGGCACAAGAGAAGCTGGAAGGTGCAAGCAAGTTGGTGGGGACAATGGGTCTTTACGTGGACGATTTTTTGATGGCCGGGACTATGACAGTGCTCCGAGAAGCCTTGGAACAGATCAGGAAGGAGTGGAAAACTTCTGAACCTGAGTTCTGTGGTCCAGGCTGTGGTGATGGATTCCTGAAGTTTTTGGGTGTCCAAATCTGGTGTCGACATGGCAGCTTCTTTCTCAACCAGGAGGACTTCGTGAGAGATTTGCTGAACCGAAGAGGGTATCAGATTGATGAAACTGGAAAAGGTAGTAACCTGCCAATGGTGAAAGAAACTCCAGGTGAAGAAGAGGAGGTGGATATTCCTTCCTTGCGAGCGGCTCAAGGTGCCGTAGGGGAGTTCCTCTGGGTGGCAACCAAAACTCGACCTGATTTGGCTTTCTGCACAAGCCAGTTGTCTTTGTGGACATCCCGTAGGCCGCGATTCGTGGTTAAAAAGGCTGAGGAGGTATTTCGACACCTTGCTGCAACTCCAACGTTAGGCTTGACGTTTGGAGCAATCGCAACATGCGAAAAAGAAAGGAATGAGGTGTTGCGTTATGGGCGAGGCGTCAAGGTGGTAGAGTCCTACGCAGATGCTAGCTTTGCAGCAGGTGAAAACGAAAAGAGCCACTCAGGAGCGGTGGTGGTTTGGGGTGATTGCCCGGTGATGTGGGCAACACAGAGACAGTCAACGGTGGCTTTGAGTACTGCTGAGGCTGAGTTGCATGCGTCTATAGAGGGAGCAACGATGATTCAGTCGTGCACCCCTATAATTGCCGCTTTGGTGGGAACTGGTGAAGAAGCACTGCAAAAAGTGCTGTATACTGATTCGGTTTCGACGTGTTCAATTATTCAATATCCTGCTGGAAGCTGGAGGACAAGGCACCTGAGAATTCGAGCAGCGGGTGTCAGGTCTCTGGTGGACCGTGGTTACATGGTGATAGCGCATCTTCGTGGTGAGTATATGATTGCTGACCTGTTAACAAAATTGATGAGTGGACATGTTTACGCGAAGCAAAAGGCGCTTTGGGGTCTCCAAATGTTGGTGCAAGGAGCTGACTTGAAAAGGGCCTCTCTTGCAATGGCGGTCATGATGGTGGCTGCATCTCTTCAAGGGATGGCAACTGGTGGAGAAGAAGCGTCAAATGCTGGATTCTTTTGCTCAGAAGAAGGAGTGTGCCGAGTCGCCAATACGTCTAATTACGGCTATGGTTCTGGCTCAAGGTATTGAAATGGTTATCAACAATGCAGATATCGCTGTGTATTTGGTGGCAATAATCACACTCTGGGAACTGGCCAGGTATATCCTTCGGCGGCTGTATAAATGGCTGTGGGGCAGGAAAGTGGTGGTTATTCCCGCGAGTGCCACTTTGTATACAACGGTGGGTGGGAACTGTATGCACGCACGCAGTGACTGTGATGTTCTGCGATATTCACAACCCAGGGCCAAGACGCTTTGTAAGCATTGCGTCAAGAAAGGTTGGGTGGTGAATGCTGAGTTCCTTGGTGATTCCTTGGTGAGGAACAGGCCGCTGGAACATAGACCTTTTCAATGTGAGGTGAAGAAATCCTCAATGGTAAAAAGGATTCGGCCAATGTGCTGAAGGTTCGTCCTGGAAAGACGTAAAACCATGGTGTGCAAGTTAATGGCTACGGCCCGTCCATGGGACGTTAAACATGTAGCTGACCGCTGCCAAAGCAACAGTTTTTTGGTCAAGCATCTGCACCTCCAGTTTGTGTCCTAGGAAATCCTAGGACAGGGGGAGTGCGGAGCTGCAGTTTGTATTCAGGAATTAGGTTGGGGTTAAATGAAAAGGGTCAATGCGCCCGACAATATCTGGCTCAAGATGGCCAGAACTAAGGCCACAAGCAAAAAAGAGGTAGAGCCCGCGTGGTTGGGATTGGGGTTGGTTCCTAGGTGCTTAGGCATAGGCCTCCTTGCTCCCTTCCCTGGTTCTCCTGGTCCGTGTTTTGGGTTTGTTGTGCTGGTCGATCTAGGGAGTATAAGTTCTGGGCTGTCCTTAGGGTTGATCCCGTTTCCCCTTTGGTTGCCCCCCGTATAGGGTTTAGGGTTTGGGGGCTCATCGGGTCTATTCATGGGTTAAAGGTTTTAAACAGATAAATTATCTCCTCATCAGAATCGAAATTCTGTTTGCTCTTCTAGGCATTAGATCTCAAAGCAAAAGGGCGAGCCTTCACACTTGCATACTCTAACCCTCACATCTTGCCAAGCAAGGCACCAGACCCCGCTAACCCGCTGCAAAACAAAGGCAGGGGCATTCTAGGCTCTTAAAGGGTTTTTTTCTACTTGGAATCAAAAACCGAAGGGGGTCAATTATGCCGAAACCTCACTTCGAACAAAAACATCAAAAGACCCTTTCATACCCTTTCGGTTTGAAGGGTGCAGATTATGCCACACCACGCACGTGCCAAGCAACAGATCAGAGTTGTGGGGTAAAATCTGTACATCTAGGGCCTGCATGTACAATGAGTACATGCTCCCCTGCGAATCAAACATGGTCTCGCCTGCTTCCTCCTCTTCATCTCTTCGCTTACCTCATCCGCCACGGTGGCCTTCGAAAATGAACTGTGAAGAGTCGCGCATGAGATTGAGCCGGGGCAGCAGGTACAACAACCGGCACCAGCTGAAGCTGATATCATTGAACCACTCAGCACGAGCGTGGCAAAGGAGTCATCTTGCGAGCATGATGCACTTAAGCACGATCCAAACTATCGTGGCAACGTCCAACTGCGATAAGCTTCTCCCAGAGTAGCATCCCAACCCTGAAACTCGTTCCCCTCCTGCCTCAGGTCTTGCATGCGCTGCAGGCACCGGTCTGACAGAGAGGGCTTGTGGCTTTCACGTGGTTTGGATCTGTGAGCTTGCAGGTTGTGGAGATCGCGGCTGTGCATCTGCCTGCCTTGCTTCGGAAAGGTCGCCCGGCTTGCCCGGCTGCCTTACCCCGATCTCTGCGACATGCAACACTCAACACCAAGGCAAATCGACAGACGGGCCTTCCAGAATCGGAGCCGGCATCCTCGGAAAAGCCCCGCCGCAGCCCCACAAGCGGTGCCCGCGGCAGGGCCCTCGGCAGCACCAGCCGTGGCCATGCCCCAAGGATGGCAGTCGTCGCACGCCTCGGCAAAACGCAGAGTTGGGCTATAGAGCATCACCGTTACAGTCGCACGCTACTTTCAGGTTGCAGCCGCATTGAAGCAGAAGACATCCCGATGCATGTGACCAGACTGCCAGCTCTCTCGACACAGAACCTTGGGCTTACAATTCCGACTGATGGCTAACAAAGTGTTGAGAGGTCGCAGAATGATTGAATGCAGCTGGACATGTGTACGATGTGCAGTTATCCGTGGTGAATGTGAAGACCCTGCTCTTGGGCCACACTGCTGCAGATGCTGCAGGGTGCATAGAGGCCAAACCAAGACGGCCTTGACCTTCCCAAAAATCGCAACGCTCCTCGTCATCTGACTCTTCCTGTAGCCCTGCTGAATCTTGCGGCTCACATTCTGGAGATACCTCCGAGGGAAAAAGGTTGAGGGCCACTGACGACGCAGTGTTCAGACTGTCACGACATCGTGCGCACGAACCGAAGAGGTTCACGTTCTTGGGCATGAGGACTTGTCCTGAGCGTGAGCTTCCAAAGGTTCTCACACAAGTGACTCATCAACGACTAGAATTGGCTGAAGCACTTGCCCACCAAAGTTGCAGATCCTACACTCGCAGCTCAGCGCCCTTCTGCGGCTGCAGCTCAAAGCTCCATCGCCGCTGTATACTGTTGGCTGGCGGCTGCAATGCTGAACTGTGGTGTATCAGTATGTCTGCAGACCGGCCATTCTTATCTCATCTGGGTGCCCGGGTGGCTAGTGACAACGGCTGCTCATGCTGACACTAGATGGATGCACTCAGAAACTGAGAGCCTCGGCGGCAGGTATGACTCGTGACTGGCATGTATGGCTGGCAGAAGAGCGCAACTATGTGGGATCAGGATAAACACCACACGACCGGCTCGCATCCTTTTTCTCTCCCCTTGCAGGACAAGGTCTCACTTTGAACCTCGCCACCTGCGGTCACATACTAGTCACATACAATGATAAGTCCAGAAATGTCGAAATGCAGACGCCAATCGCGTCAGGCAATCTCCGGGCCCTGCCACTCTGAGCCATCTGGGTTCAAGACCGTCATCTTCAGGGGCAAGGTGCCAAAGCGCTTGCCGCCATCGGATGTCACAAGCACGGTATCCGAAAGGCCAAGGGGCCCACTGGGCTGCGTGTACTTCTGAAACCAGGGGATAAAGTGGAAGGTCATGCCATCCTGCAGTTCCGCCTCGTTAGGGTTTAGGGTTTAGGGTTTAGGGTTTAGGGTTTAGGGTTTAGGGTTTAGGGTTTAGGGTTTAGGGTTTAGGGTTTAGGGTTTAGGGTTTAGGGTTTAGGGTTTAGGGTTTAAGGATGCCATCCTGCAGTTCCGCCTCGTTGTTACCGACAAGGCTGAAGTCCGCGTCCCCCCAACCTGCGTGCCCCGTGGGCTGGGTCGCAGTGCTGCCGGTGGAATATGCCAAGCGCCTGGCAAAACTTTGGGGAGGTCTTGATGAACACCAGGGTTTAGGGTTTAGGGTTTAGGGTTTAGGGTTTAGGGTTTGGGGTTTGGGGTTTGGGGTTTGGGGTTTGGGGTTTGGGGTTTGGGGTGTGGGGTTTAGGGTTTAGGGTTTAGGGTCTCCTAAACCGACTCCCCGGCATGTCACCCAACAAGGCAGGAGCACGCGGACATCTTCAGCTCCGAGGTGTTCGACAGCATGATCTCTCTGCCAGCCTTGTCGATGTCTTTCGCCTTGGCTCCTTCGAGAACACCGCGGCCAAGCACTTTTGTCGTACGTTTCACTTGGCCTTCTTCGCATCCCGAGCTTTTTCTCACGTAGAGGGCCTCGTGGGGCCTGTATTGATCCCTAAACCCTAAACCCTAAACCCTAAACCCTAAACGTGGCTTTCAACTTAGGTCGGCTCCTGGCACCATCATGGGCAAGCAGACGTCGAAAGTCTTCTGAATCAAGCGCTCCGCCTGCAGGGCACAGGAGTTTCCTGAGGCCAACCCTAAACCCTAAACCCTGAATCCTGAACCCTGAACCCTAAACCCTAAACCCTAACCCTAAACCCTAAACCCTGAACCCTAAACCCTAAACCCTCAACCCTAAACCCCAGCCATCCCCAGTGACATCCCAGGGTGCCTCCAATAACCAGGCCGGGGGAGAGGACTCGCCTTCGCCAAGCCTCACAAGGCCAACCCAAGCCAAGGAATCTTTAGGGTTTAGGGTTTAGGGTTTAAGGGTTTAGGGTTGAGGGATTAGGGGTTAGGGTTTAGGGTTAGGGTTTAGGGTTTAGGATTTAGGGCTTCGGCTTTTTGGGGATGACAGGGGTTTAGTTTTTTAGGGTTTAGTGCTTCGGCTTTTTGGGGATGGCTGGGATTTAGGGTTTAGGGTTTAGGGTTTGGCGTTCAGGGTTGAGGGGTTGAGGGGTTGAGGGGTTGAGGGGTTGAGGGGTTGAGGGGTTGAGGGTTGAGGGGTTGAGGGGTTGAGGGTTGAGGGTTGAAGGTTGAGGGTTGAGGGTCGAGGGTGGAGGGCTGAGGGTTGACAGTTGAGGTTTGAGGGGTGAGGGGTGAGGGGTGAGGGGTGCCCCGAAGCATGGGCCACCTTCAACGATCTGCAGAATTAGGCAGTTTGCAGTCCCAGCGTCACAAAAGCTGTCCGCATCAGCGGGGCATGGTGGCCGAACTTGCATGCCGAGTGCTCGATGAAGACCAGGTTGCCAGGACAGACCTACCAGGCAACTTGAGCTGCTTTAGGGCCTTTGGGCTTCTCAACAAAAATGCGCAACGGCGCAGCAGAATTAGGCTAATTACTGCCTGGCTGTAGAATGGTGGCAAATGTATCGTCTGTTTCCTGATCGCAGCAGGAGGCTTACCTTGCAAGTATGTCTTTGAACGGTCTTCGTGAACTGGCAGTATGAATGACGCTGTCGTTTCGTAGCTTAGATGTGATAACGTGTGTTCATGGAACCATCTTTTCGATATGGCATGTGAAAAAATGTCGGGGTTTCCCAGCTCTTTTCTTGCCATTCTGAACTCTAGTCGGGACCTACAGGACAAGGATCAGCCCCACGGACAATGCGCCGACGTAGCTTCGCACGCCTTCGCTCATGAAACTTCCCTGAAAAATGTTCCTCTTTGGTCTCTCCGAACCCTAAACCCTAAACCCTAAACCCTAAACCCGGAAAAGCAACTTCTGTTCTGATCGCATCCGGTTGACAAAGGTGGGGGCTTGGTAAGAAAGTTGGACAATCTCCTTAGAGATGTAGGGTTTCCAGCCCATACAGTAGCTTGCCACAGGTGAGAGCATCCTAAACGAACCCTAAACCCTAAACCCTAAACCCTAAACCCTAAACCCTAAACCCTAAACCCAGCGGCCTGCTCCTTTGGCAGCCAGGACCCATGTCCAGAAGGGTCGGTCGAGCGGACGATGGGCATGTAGCCGGGGACCTCGCTGCCGGCCGCGATGAGCGCGGCGTAGGCTGTGGAGTGGAGATCGCTCAGGAGCTGCCTAGTTCATTGGTTGGGATTCTACTAAAATTTTACAAATGTTATTTCTTATTGGGTTTAAGTACCCGTAAAAATGCAACAGGTTACACAACTATGACAAAGTTGCCCTGGCTTCATCGAGCCCAGGGCCGCAGTCAAGGCTGCCTCGGACATGGAGGACGCGTCCCGGATGCACCCGAGTTCGAACTCGAACTTCTGGAGCCGAGCCTTCTCCACCGTCTTGCTGGCGTCTACACACTCAACATGGCAAGCATCGAAGAATGTGCGCAACCGGAGGTAGTGCGCAGCCGAAATGGAAGCCAACTGCAAGCCCACACGGCACCCCGATCGAAGACACTTTGCGACTGTGTGGCAGAAGACCTCATGGATGCTTGCGCTATCTGGGCACGTGAACACCTCAGCTACCCAGGATAACTTCGGGACCAGGTCGAACTCAATGAGACGGGCAATCAGAAAGGGGTCGGCACCGGCAGGCAAAACCAAAGCCTGCGGGGCAGCATCTCCGATGGTATACAAGCCCGTGAGGTAGTATAGGTCTTCAGGCTGCACGACCACCAGCACACTAATGCCATCTGTGTCCATGAAGTCTCGGACGGCCTTAAGCCTCCTTTCGTACTCCTCCGGGGGCACACGCAGTGGTTGGTCACTCCAACCATGGAAGATAGGTATGCCCTCGGGCTTCACAACGCGCAGCACGTTCGCTGCCACCTCTTGCATCGGGAAGCTCATGGCTTGCTGTGGGCAGCGTGGGCGGGGCCGAGGAGGATGCTGGCAGGCCTCAAAGAATGCGAGTAAGCATATGTAAACATGCGTCGAAGTAACGAGCACAAGCACAAGCACAATCACACGCACAATCACACACACACACACACACAGACAGACAGACAGACAGACAGACAGACAGACAGACAGACAGACAGACAGACAGACAGACAGACAGACAGACACACACACACACACAGAGCGCACACAGCACGCACACAGACACAGAGACAGACAGAGACACACGGAGACAAACAGAGACAGCCGGAGCACAGAGAGAGAGAAAGAGAGAGAGATAGAGATAGAGAGAGATAGAGGGAGATGGAGAGAGAGAGAGAGAGAGACGTTCACAGGCACACACTGTTCTTAAAATCCTACACCAGCAATTGTTGAACATCAACTTTCTGTGAGAACAGTAAACAAAAATTCTCACAAGACTCTGCCAGAAACTCCTGCATCTGCTTTTTGCGCACTGCGGCCGGGTAGAAAGGGACAATATACGAACCTGCTCGGCCAATGTATGCTCACTAAATGAAGTCCTAAAGCGATGTGTCCTAATCCTAGCGCACGCGCTTCAGGTGGTACCTGGCCGGCCACTCTGCGGCATGTCATGACGAAGCAAGAACTGTCCCACAGTCGGGGGAGCACACGCGCACGTCCGGGTGCCCATCTGGCCCGAGCGCCTGCTCAGCGAGCACCTCACACGAGGTATGCCTAGTGAAGATGACGCAGCTCTTTTGCCTGGGCCCAGAACCTCTTTCACGATCTCCAGGCCCATCGGGGCCAGCATCTGACAAGCGCAGAACGAAAGGACCAAGCCCGGCCAAAGCTGGCAAGCGCGCCTGGCGGAAGAGGACCAAAGACTCCTGGTCCCGGACCTGCATGCGGCGGGGGGAGGAGAGGGTTCCTCCTTGTATACTCCATAGGACACCCAATTTCGAAACAAAAGGGCCCTTGCTTGGAACAAGCCCCACATCGGCCCCGACTGCTTCAACAAAAAGTATCATGTCAGCCGTCGGTTTTCTGCCTACTCTCCGAAAGAGAGCTGCCGCGTAATGTCACACACAGCGCAATGGCTCTAAACCCCCCCAAAAACCCTGAAAGAACCCCACAGGCCCTAAAGCCCCCCGGGTACCTGAACCCCAAAATCTAAGGTCGGAACCAAGGGCCGTAGAATGCCCCTTACCCTTGTTGAAGTCTGGGCCCTTATTCTGTATAGTGTACATCAAGGTTATATGGGGGTTTACGAAAATGTGGGACCCTAATATAAACCCCTAAATACTAGGATTCCCACAGATTTTTTGGAAGCCCCCAAATGCCCCCAAATAACCCGGAACTCTCAACCCTAAACCCTAAACCCTAAACCCTAAACCCCAAACAAGGGACCCCTCTTCAAACGCAAGAGTGCCCCCGGCGCCTTGTGGGAGAGGATCACCTCACCGGCTCCCGGGCCAGAAGTGGCCCAGGCAACAGCCTGGAGTTCAGATGCTCCCAGGGTTTTGGGGCCTTTAGGGTTTAGGGTTTAGGGTTTAGGGTTTAGGGTTTAGGGTTTAGGGTTTAGGGTTTAGGGTTTAGGGAATGCTCCCGGCCTTTAGGGGAGGGTTTTCGAGTCTAGGGTTTTAGGGTTTCGGGCTTTGGGTTTTTGGGTCTTGGGGTTTAAGGTTTAGGGCTTATTGTGAGGGTTTAGATGCCTTCTTGGGCTTAGGTGCTTCATCGAGGAAAGCCTTTTTGGGAAGGGGGGGCGGGGGGTGTGGGGGGCTGTTGGAAAGTTTTCGTTTGCCATGTTGACTTGGATGTGTGATGCCTGACAACGTTCCGGCCAGCCATCCAGACCAAAGGGCAAACACAGTTGAGGGAGCATCTGTTCATTGAGATGCCTGGAGGATTTACGAACCCAACCAACAAGTTGTTGGCAACAACTTATTCCTGCGCGGCAAGCATAACGAAGATTGCTCACCGGCTGGCAGGTCCTGGAGAAACGGCTCCACCAAGGTCTCATGCCTTGGCACCCACGCAAGAAGACAGTGAGAGCGATCCAACTCAGATCTGAGTCGGGCACCAAATTACATCCCCTGCAAACACCAGGTCGAAGTAGCCGTATTGGCCGCGTTCGGGAAGCCTCTGCACTTGAAAAAAACAGATATCCCTCGTCACATCCTGTGACGTGTGGTGACCCCAATGCCTCCTCCAGTCAAGGCTGCCATAACTGGCTGCACCACCAGCAGCTGCAATGGATCCCTGGTTCTGCATGATGTTCCCCTGAGGTGATAGCCACAAACTCGCGGAGACACACTGATGGTCGAAGCTGCTTTCCGCGGCCTGTGTCAGCAACGCCTGCGTGTCGCCGATGTCTGTCAGCAGGACCTGACTCAGGAAATGCCTAAACCCTAAACCCTAAACCCTAAACCCTAAACCCTAAAACCTTAGCTGGGTCCTGCCACCCTAAGCAGCCCGATGCCTCGTTTCCCAGCACGGCAAAGCTGAGGCCTGCCAAGGAACAAAGGCAGCCCTTAAGTCCCTAAGCAAACTTCTGCAAAAATGTATGTGTCCATATGTATACCTATGTACATATAGCAAACTTATGTAAGAATGTATGTGATATATATATATATATATATATATATATATATATACAGGTATACCTATGTACATATAATACGTATATAGGTTGATATGAAAACATGTACTTATCGATAGAACCATACTATAACCATTTTCACCATACAGTATGATACTCTACTCTCCCATACTACCCGTAGATAAAAACCAAATCATACCACAAAACCGCCATAGCAGCTGAGATTGTAATGTTCGGGACTTGGGGGGACTCAGTGCGCCTGCAACTCCGGTCCCACAGCCCAACTCCAAAGCACGATGCCGCCTGTCACTGTCATGCCGAGCCGACCCCACAGGGACTGCTGAAAGATATGCAACGTGGCTGGTATTCATAAGGCTGCCGATCTCATGTTCTTGTACTGAGACTATGTGCTACCCACTACTGACTCTCCTTGCTCAGAAGAAAGCTGCAACTGTTTTACATTCACATCTTGGGTGGATACTGATAACTTTTCAATTGACATGATTGCTCTTTGCTTTTTTGTGTGTAAGAAAGGTATGTAGCTTTCCGAATACAAAGTGCTCTTGATTCAAAATCGACTTGTTGATATTCCTGAGGGGGTGCTTCATAGTTCCTCTCACTCCGAAAAAGCATTCCATGACCCTAAACCCTAAACCCTTAACCCTAAACCCTAAACCCTAAACCCTAAACCCCAAACCCCAAACCCTAAACCCTAAACCCCAAACCCCAAACCCTAAACCAAACCTTAAAGCCTAAATCCTAAAGCAGAAACCCTAAACCCTCAACCCTAAATCATTTTCAGATCCTCTGGGCAAGGGCATTGTCCCGGCTGGCTCAGATGTCGCTGACCTCAGAATGGCGTGAATGGCTTCCCCAACTGGCTGTTAAAACACCGATCTGTGTGTTGGAGTGCTTATGACTAGAAGTACCAGATGCCGTCTCCTAGCAAGCAAGTGCAGTAGCTTCCGAGAAGGTCTGTACAAGTAGCGATCTCCTGAAACACCCAAGCAGCCTAGATCCGAAGAAACATAACCTTTAACTGACCAGCACTGTCACAATGGCTACTGTACGGTACAAGAAGGGACTAGCAGAAACGGGCAGAAACAGCCACAGCAACAACAGCGCAACAACGACGTCAGCAAAGCGGCACCAGCCCTGGGACATCGCAGTTTTGGCTTGTCTCAGACGAGCCTCAAGTTGTAGCAGCACACCACGCCAGACTTCAGCCTGGCAGTTGCCTCGACTCTGCAAGGTTAGGATGCGCTTCCACGGGCATTCAAAGGCCTTCAAAGGCGAAGCGACCTAGATTTGGACCTCTCCCTTTGCCAGGGTTTTCCTGGCGGCGTCAAAAAGGCGAGGGAGATTCTGTTCTAGACAAATGCAGATGCTTCTTTAATGTACCTACACGGACTGGCCGTCCGGTCCATGACGACTGCTGAGCAGCCTGTACAATTCTGTGCCCAGCTGCGCCAGCATCCGTGAAGAAGCTGCTTCAGGAAACTTTGTGGGCCGTGCGGCGACAGAACGATGTTGCTACTTCTCATGGCCTCAGTAAGTATGTTGCCTTTGCACGGCAAAGCTGCTAGGCGATTGCAGCTGCTTCTTCAAGACACTGGTGCCACGCGTGCGAGAGCTTGTCGGACGCCTTCACCCACATCTCGAGTGAAGTCGTCCAAATGAAGCTCAAACCGCGTCCAGGGCTCAAAAAAGAGGGTCGACGTCCTGGAAAAACAGCCGAGCAGCCTCTGCGTCCTGAGCACCTTTTTCAAAAACGGGTGGCTGAGAGGAAAACCAAAGCGTCTCACCTGTCAGCCCTGTGTCATCAAAAATGTACAAGGGACTCATTGGCTTTGATGTAGTCATGGTCGGAGCACGCCAGTGCACGGTCAGGGTCCTTCTCTAGCCCCAAGACATACTTCAAGCTCCAGCCGGCCTCGAAATTTGGGCCGAAGGGCATCTTCCATGTCCAAAAGAAGGGCTCGATCTCGTCGGACCTGTACTTCACATGCTTAGCAGCTCAAGAAGCCTGTCTACTCACTTTCGAAGGAGTCGTTTGGAGCTGCGGAACCATCGGAGGGGAGTGGGTTCTATACACGAATCATATTTCCATAGAAAGCTACATATAAATGTAGCACTTTAGGAATGTTTATATATATATATATATGTAAATGCATATATGGTATGATATGATATGGTATGATATGATATGATATACACCTGCAGGTATATAATGTGATATAAGCATATTTGCATTTACGCGATCGAACGTTGAAGATGTCAAGACTTAGAGATGTTTATATACTTATATACTCATCTGCGTGTATACTTACAAAACATGTGCAAATCCACAACATATCTGCAGATGTATGTTTATTTACTTTTGTATTTATATAACGATATACACATTAATTACATGTATACATACATATATATATATATTCACATATATGTGTGTGGACATGTGTGTGTGTTATATTGCTGTATGTTTACATCATTACGTGCTTATACATATATATATATATATGTATATATATATGTGTGTGTGTACTTATGTAGTTATTCAATGGTTTTGTCTTTGGGCACTTGAAAAAAGGTATATATCTACTTATTTATTTTGTTATTTCTGTGGTCAGGCGGTCAGGCGTCTGGCGTGTCCGCCCCCCCCCCCCCCCCCAAGGTATGGTCCGGTGGTGGGGGGCAGGGGAAGCGGTTTGGGCTTCCCTAAGCCCAAACCCGACCCAACAAAAAAAGACCTGCAACCCAACCCTTTAAGCCTGAAATGACGCCAGAGCTCTAAACCAGAAGCCCGAATTGAACCCTAACCCCGAAGACCCACAGCCACACCACAGAGGAAGGGGGGGAGCAGTACCTTCATGACCGTAAAACCCGAAAGCCTAAACCCCAATACAATACTCCAAAACCTACAAGCCCTCTAACGCTAAGCCCTAGAAACCTGAATCCGTAGAACCCTAAGCCCCAAATCCAACAAGCAACCCACAGCCGCACCACGGATGGGCGGGGGGGGGGCCCGGAAACCTACACCCAACACCCTAAAACCCCAAACCAAGCCGAAAACAAACCCACCCACAACCACGCCTCAGGGGCAGTGGGTACCATACCACGGGGGGGGAGGGAAGAGGAGGGGGCCGGCCGCGGAGCGCCTGATCATATAGACAGTCTGTATCATGTTGTTTTAGAAACTGCTTGCATGTAAAGAAGTTTCTACAGTGATATACTGACACATGTATATAAATAACTTGTCATGACACACAAGCAAGAACCCGAGCTCCATGCAAGAACGTGGCAGCAGCAGCTTCAAACCCCAAAGAGCAGGTCTGGTATCACTACTCCCCTCACCCTAATTCTAAACCACCCCCCACCCCCTAGTATGAAATACTCCCCCACATACAAAAATATCACTTTTCTCACCGAGCACGCGCTGAGGGTCTCACCGGAAGGCGCTGACCTGCTCCTCCAGGAAGGCCCGCACGATCTGGGAGTCGCTGCACGCGTACCTGGAATTGTGGAAGGTGGCCGCCGAAAACTCGGTGACTGCCACCAGTCCTGCATGCAAGCAGCCGTGAAGTGGCGCGAAACCACAAGCACAGAGGGATTTGGTTTGGGGAAGATATGTAGGAGTCGTGCCCAAGGGTTTTTGGGGGCTCCTTTACCGAAGAGGCGGCGCAGGTTGGACGAAGCGTCGTGGGCACAGCTGCTGAGCTTCGGTCGCACTTCTGCGAGCGGCGCCGAGCAGCTATAAGCTCCCCCCTCCACCTCTGATCGTCAGGCGAGTCCAAGCAGGTGGTTGTCAAAGTTATGGTCCCCTTTTGGATCTCTACCATAATACGGTACCTCATATTTAGGGTACCCCAAAAGGGATTATAATTTTGACCAGGGAAAACCCCAGAACCCATCTGCAGTCAAGCGGCTGTGCGACCATCACATACACCATCACTCCAGGCGACATACCAATGCACATCTGCAATGGCCCATTGCTCTCGCTCTTCTTGCGTGAATGTCTTGAGAAACCATGGAACTGCCGAGTGTTCAAACTCCGAAAAAGCTGTCTCAATCCTGGGCTGAACTTACCCCAACCTCCCCCCCACCCAAAACTCCGATCTTCACAGGACAATGCTTTCCAAAGAGAGCTTTCCAGAAAGCAAGCACTAGAATCAGGTTCACGTACAGCTTGACTCCCTGAGCAGGAAGCAGCGACTTGCGGAAGTCATCTGCTGCATCTGACAGCCATCTAAGAATATCCTCCTCCTTGGCAAAGTGGGTAAATGCATTGAGATGGGCGGGCTCATTCATAAAGGTCAGCCCCCGGATTCCAATCTTCGCTTCAGGATCCAGGCTTTCGGACCATTGGATGAGCGCCCTCACAATCCAACGCCCCACGTCCGTCAGCTGGACGTTGCCGATCTTGGTTCGCTCAGTCCAAAAAACCGGCTTGTTGGGCCAGATCCCATTGTAGGTGCCTTTCTGGGAGCCTCCGGGAAAAGAGTGGACATCAAGGATCACTGACACGCCATTTTGGGCCGCGTGCCGCAGGAAGGCCACTAAGTCAGCACGTGGGAGGGTGGCATAGGCCACCGTGTCTGGGTAGAAGGGATCCGGCACCAACACTGTGTCCTTAGAAAAAAGTCTAGCATGCCTCAGACCTAAACCCAAGGTCCCAACACTCATCCATCTGGCAATATACGACCCTCCTCCTTCTTCTGCTATATACAACTCCCTCTCTCCTGTCTCCTCTCTCCTCTCTGACCTCTCTTTTTTTTCTGCGCTCGCTCTCTCTCTCTCTCTCTCTCTCTCTCTCTCTCTCTCTCTCTCTACATTGGTGCCTGACCGCTCAAACCTGTCGTCGAGCTTCAGTGTCCGCATTGTGCGCCCCGTACACGCTTGGACTGAGAGGCGCCAATGCGTCTGCGAATGCGGCCCACGTCACGGGCAAGCGGATGGTGTCGATCCCCGCTCGCACGATCTCCTGGAGTTCCTCCTGCGCAAGGTGCGTGGACTGAAGCAGAAGGCACAAGGCTCGTGCAACTTCTAGACTTCTTGCGTGCACAATTTGTCAAAAGCTTTTTTTACGAGTACAATCTTAAAGGATTTTGGGGTCTCTCCTTCGTGAAGAACTCCTCCCTGTGGGCCCTGAAAATCTTTGCTGTCTGCTCGCTGCCGAAGCTGGCGTTCAGTCTGGATGCCAAGACCCCTTCAGAGGGCCAAGCCTTGTCGACATGATGCAGCAAGGGAGGCAGGCACCTCCCTTGGCCATCTTCGTCTGAACTCACCATCTTTCCATCTGCGCCGGAGAAAAGCCAATCCTCCAACACGAACCACCCACCGAGGTTGACACCAGCCCCTTTGGGCATGGAGAACTCCTGTAAGAGGGCCTGAACATCTGTTCGTTCTGATCGTGGGTGCGCCTGCCACAGCGCGACGCCTAGCAAGGCCAGAACTAGCGGAGCGGACGCGAGAGCGACGGCTCTCCGGCAATGGCACCTCGCTGCTTTGGGGGCTGTAACTTCGCCTTCGCCTAGGAGTCCGGCCTCACACTCATCGGGGTCCACTGAGTCTGTCCGCACTGTTTCCACCATCCCCTGTAGCAAAACAAAGCTGTCTCTGTGCCTTTGAGAAAAAAATGGCTACACGCCCGCCGACTCGGTGCCACACCGTGCATCACGCAGCATCGCTGAGACGACATGGGGAGATTGAAAGCCCCTGTTGCCGGGACTCCTGCACCTCTCCATCTTTAGGAGAGCGGGCCGGTGAAAGCCGAGCAGGAAGATCGCCTCGAGAAAGGCGAGCGGATGTACATCCCACCCCCCTGCTCGTCTCCACCGCCCTCGCCTCTCGGCAGGGTAACGCTTCGAAGGACGACCTGAAGAAGGCAGACAGTGGACGGACCCAGGTGGATTGGGTTCTGTATGCCCCCACATTCAGCAGCATGGTCCCCACGCCACTCTTGCTGCAAGGCCAGCTTGCTTTGCTGCCCGTGCTGGCCTTTAAGGATTCTGAGACTCTGCTGACTGCGCTCCCACACCCTCAACAGCCACGGAGCTTCAAAGAGTTGAAGCCTGCCAAATAAATGGAAAAAATGGAGCGGCGACTCGTCTCGATGCCACCGGCTCTGAGCTCAAAGCGGGATGGAAGGCTCCTGAAGAGACCGAGGGCGGGCCCGTAAACCTGAGCTTCGCGGTAATGATTTCCGAGCCGCCCGACAAGCCAATGAGCCCAAAACCCTGGGCTCTTACATGCCGCCCATTCTACACATACACATATACAGATGCAGGTACATGTACATATACATCTGAGTGTACCTACACATACGCATATGCATACGCATCTGCATATATACATGCATATATATCTACATATATACATATGTATGCATATATATATATATGTATTAACATATGAAAATAGAGATGTATACACAGAACCCTAAACTGTTTGGCAACAAGGTTTCCACATGTTCCCCACCCCAAATCATGCCTTGACCCTCGCACCCTTCGAGGGCTCCCTTCGCCCCCAGAAAAGGCGGGGCATCCTGAGCTCGACGCCGTCTGCCAGAATGCTCTTGGTGCAGCTCGCCAGGCCTCGCTGGTTTAGGGTTGAGGGTTTAGGTTTTAGGGTTTAGGGTTTAGGGTTTAGGGTTTAGGGTTTAGGGTTTAGGGTTTAGGGTTTAGGGTTTAGGGTTTAGGGTTTGGGGTTTAGGGTTTAGGGTTTAGGGTTTAGGGTTTCAGGCCGTTGTGTTTGTTACTCCTGGTTCTTGCTTGTTGGCTCTCATAGTCTTCATTCTTCTGTCGGCTCTATGCTTCCGCTCTCGTCCTTGCTTCCTCCCCTCGCTCCTCAAGAGCGGGCTTTGAGCTGGGTCCGAACCGTCGGTCTCATTTGTTGAAGCAGAAAACAGGCTGCACGGAAGTCGTCCACGGGCCAACCCATGGTCCGTTGGCACTGTGGCTTCCCATAAGTATGATTGAGACCAGGAAAACTTCTGGTTGGCTACGGGCCTTCACCTAAGCCTAAGCCCTTCTCCTTGCTGCGTGCACGCTTTCGAGTGAAGGTTATATGCAACAAACCGTTGTGAGGGGGTCACTTTTTGTTCTTCGACCGACCCGCCGACAATCGATCCTGCCTCCTCCCAACAGCTGTACGACACGGTCCTATGCCACTGCACAACCCGGTATCACCCCAAATCGACAGACCTGATTCCCTCCCTCAATTCCTCGATTCAAGAGTCCTGCAAAGGGTACTTCTGTCTGCCTCAACCGGTTTCCCTGTCGGCGTGAGATGGCGTGAGACTTCAAGTTCTGCACGGGCAGCTGCCCGAATGAAGCAAGTTACAACCCCTGAAAGCCTGACAGGTGTGTCATATCCTGTTGGCGCATCTGCCCCGGAACAGCAACACCTACACCCACTGTCGTCTTTCTCACTCTCTCTCGCCCTCTCCCTGTCCCTCTGCCCCTCTCCCCTGGAAGCCTGGACAAGTTGCTCAGGACAGCTGCACGAAGCCCGCCCCAATGGCAGCATCAGGGCTACAGCTCACCAAGAGGCGACTGTGGGCAAGGGGGGTTGATATAAATTATAGTGCGCTTTTCTGGGGGCTGTTTGTACAGTCTAGTCTTCCTTATACTTTAGGGTAACAGCAAGAGCCCGAAGCTTAGATGGCCAATCATCGGCCGTGCATCCTGAGCTGCAGGCATGGACGCCGTTGGCCGAGAAGCCTGGCACAGTTGTGCTTGACTTTGCGGCCTCGAACTTCATCATCAACGAACTGAAGATCTTGCTGCATAGTACAGACAGAATGAAAGCAGCGACTGGCTGGCACCTCTGACAGGCTTCGCCAGGCTGTCCATGATGGGGTGGAGAGTATTCAAATGATTAGCCTCGGCAGACAGAAACAAAGCCAGACCAGGGGGAGTGTCGCCCCTGCGCCGAGTTGCCGCGGCTGCTGGGGCACCAAACGGGTTACCTGCGACAACCCATGACCACGCATAGACTTAAAATAGCTGCATTCTGCATTGGCACAGGTGCCTTCAGCTATACCGCGCGAAGCAACTCGGAGTAGCTTTTGACCAAGAGTTCCAAATAGAAGCGTCGCGTGGCCAGCCTGCAGAAGCACAGGACATCTTCGCCAGAACTTCCTCCCTAAACCCTAAACCCTAAACCCTCACTTCAATGGGAGCCTGCTCGACTGACGCCACAGTCAGGAGCACGGCCACAGCATCCGCCGGCACCCCGGTGAGGACACGACACTCCGACAGCAGCCTCCACGCCTGGCGGCCCGAAAGTCGCAGAACTGCTTAGGGTTCAGGGTTCAGGGTTTAGGGTTTAGGGTTTAGGGTTTAGGGTTTAGGGTTTAGGGTTTAGGGTTTAGGGTTTAGGGTTTAGGGTTTAGGGTTTCGGGTTTAGGGTTTAGGGTTTAGGGCTTAACTCAGGGAACTCTTGCACCTGCTGCCAGGACCGTGCCAGGGCACAAGCGCCCAAGGTGGCCCCCAAGGCCTGTGGCACTGGATCTGGGTTTGTTTAGGGAATTATGCAAAAATGCTTTCCGGCTTCTTTCTTTGTTGGTCCAACTTGCAGGGGCACCTTTCTTACAAACGAGTACGCCCACAAATCAACACGCGCGCACACGCACGCACACACGCACACACGCACACACGCACACACACACGCACACACGCACACACGCACACACGCACACACACACACACACACACACACACACACACACACACACACACACACACACACACACACACACACACACACACACACACACACACACACACACACACACACACACACACACACACACAATGGGTTCTCGTGTGGTCTTTGACCCGTTTTTTGTGGTGCCGCTTCGTCAAATAAGCTTTCCGGGGCTTAGGAACTGGATGTCACTGGTGTTGGGATGGCATTGGTGCTTCGGGTGTTGGCATTGATTGGACAGAGTTTCCTGCTGCTTCTGGCACCCAATACCCCAGCACGCATGAATGCCTGCTCAGACCCAAAATAGCTTGGGTTGTTTATAATGGAGCCTCTCACAAGTCACGAAGAACGTGGCACATCACACTGTCATTCTGTGCTACTACAGTAGTCGGCACCACCAAGATGTCTGACATTCCTGGAAGGGTTGGAAGCAGAGGCGACAGCAAGCGGATCCCAGAGCTGTGCCTTCAAGTCTGGCTTGAGGTTGACAGTGAACCTCAAGATCTCACCACACATGTCGCGCCCGCTGGTAACAGGAGTGCGCCCGAATCTGCCCGAGACTTGGCAGGGTCTGACCCTGAGGTCTCACCGGCCTGGTTTTCAAACAAAAAGGCCGGGGGGAGGGGGGGGGCAGGGTGCTAAATGGAGACTTCCCCCAAACACTCCCAGGAATGGTCTAGCCGACCTGCGCCAGAAGGAAACGAACCGAAATTTGGGGTAAGGTTAATGGTTTAGGGTTTAGGGTTTAGGGTTCAGGGTTTAAGGTTTAGGGTTGCTCGCACACGGCCTGAGGCTCCCAGCATCTCGTCCAGCAGCAACAATGCGTCCTCCCAACGTCTTGCCTGCAGCGGGCGCAGGGCTTCCTCTTTCTGTTAGGAGATAATAACGTAGCAGAAGGTCTTCTCAGAGGCGTGCGTGATGGTTGAAGTTTCCGAGAGTTTGGGCTGGGAATGCAGGGCGTATAGGCTCGTCGGACTGAGGGCTTAAGCCTTCAGGATGCAAAAACTTCAGGGCGAAAGGGGGGTTTAGGGTTTGGAGGGTCTTAGGCTTTCATATCGGGTCGCAACTCCAAGGCGGAGTTTACGCGTCAGGCCCCCCAAGCCCTACACAAAAAAGGTTGGGCCAGTAGTTTGGATGACTGAATGTCCGTCCCATGAGGCTTCCCATGCTGGGGCTGCCTGGGGATTTACAGTAGGCTGTATTTGGGTCTTGGGGGGCTTAGGAGTTCGGCTTCGGTTCTAGAGAAATTTTGGCTTTATATACGGCTTTAGGGTTTTAATAAAGCACGAACCTGCTGCAGACTGACGAGCCCTTCCGAGTAAGATGTCAAGGATGCAGCGGAGGAACGACCTGTCCAGAGGCGTGCATGTGTAGAGGTACTTGCAGCATGCCCTTTGTAGTACAGTGTAGTCCCTGCCCGCTGTAGCAGGAACTATCCGAGCAGCTTAGGAACGGCTTCTGGGGACCCAGAACAGTGCAACTTTGCTGGAAAAATCGCGGAAATCGTAGGATCCGGGCGCAGCTGTGCGAAGAGGGTCAAGGCCATGTGCCACTGCTCGCCCCGCAGGCATGCTGCCATGGCCTTTTGTCAAGTTCACGATTCGAAACCCTAAGCCCTAACCCTAAACCCTCGCTCCAGGTCCCTCCTACACATGGGCCACAGGACAAGTGGCTGCATTCACGGTGGTGCTATCCGGGCAAAGTCGGTGTTGAGAAGCTGCCTTGCACTGGAGCACTTGCAAGATCACAACACATTGCAGCCCACGACCCTTCATGAACAGACTGTCAACCGTCATGCTACAATAGCCTGGTGGAGAACCCAGAGCGCCCCTGGCCAGTGGCGGCCTGCGATTCATCTGAAATTCTGGCAGAACGACGCCGAAAAGAGGCGATGCCAAGAGCCCGACCCTTTTCGCAAGCGCTGGCCACCTCAGAAGGCAGTCTGTCGAGTCCGGCGCATGCGAACGCCAAAGTGATCGCACGGTATTTGGCGAGCATCCGACAGCATTCAGCAGCACCACGTTGGGCTTGATGTTTGCAGCCTGGCTGTTGGTATTTCTCACCCACACTTGGTTTGCTTGATCTTGAATTCAACTGGTCCTTAGCTGACCTCGTGTGAGCTACAGTGTCCAAACTGTGCAACACCAAAGTAAATTGACGGCAGGACCCGCAGCTTGACTTCCAGGGTATGGACGGCCGCTTCCCAGAGGCCACTCTTCTCGCACCTCAGACGGGATCACGCAGTTGCAAAGGGGCCCCCTAAACCCTTATAAACCCTGAACCCTAAACCCTAAACCCTAAACCCTAAACCCTAAGGTGGACATCCTTGGCTTGCAGGCGAGACACGCAGTCAGCGCTGCCCCAAAGCTCACGATGTCGGGCTGGAGGTTCGCCACCTGAGCCGAATGATTTGCCAAGAGTTGCGGCTCCCTGATTAGACCGCTTAGTTAATTGATAATAAGGCCTTGGTTCCTTGTCTCTCTGTGTGTGTGTGTGCGTTCACTCTTGAATGGGTCTGAAGATGCAAGTGTTTGCCTGCATCGGATTGGCCAGCTACCATCTTGTTCGTGGTGGAAGGTCTTTGCCATTTCGAGATTTTGGCTCTGCCACAGTCTGCCCCGTGCCTGAATCTCGCCAAGGAGGGCCAGGGCCTGGCTGGAGTGCCTGCCCTGCAGGTAGCAGCAGTAGCAGGCTGTCCCGACTACCCCACGTGCTCCGTTTGGGCTTCGGCGCCGCATCTCGGTGTGGAGCTATGTCGAGTTGCTTCTGGTTTGGGAAGTTTGGGATTTGGGAGAAGCATCTGGGACGTCAGGCATAGGTGCGCCGCTGTTGAGCTGATGACAGCCACACTCCTTGAATTGCATCGATCTTAGCTAGGCTTTCCGAAGGTGTCAACCTGCCACATCAAAGACTCCCGGAGCACCTTGGCACAGGCGGTCATCGCTGCGTTGAACGCCACCAGACCAGCACCCTCTCGGCGTCGCAGCTCGCACAGGAGGCCTACTGCCTCAGGGTGGCGTAAAGAGGCAGGAAGCATGGGTGCAACAGGGTCGGCATGAGACGTGCACCACACGCTCAAAGGCCACGGCAAGCAGTCGAACAACAAGAAACACGATGCTAAGACATGCTAAGACATGCTAAGGCCCGGTGCATGTTGCCACATGATGCTCGAACCACATGCGCTGATGGCGGCCTCTGCACCCCCGAACAATGCAGGAAAATTCAATGGCTTGGAAGTTGGGGGCTTGCAAGGTGGCAAAGACACTTAGGACAATCCGGAGGAGCAAGACGAGCAAGACGAAGCAAGACGCAGCATGGAAAAACCCTAAACCCTAAACCCTAAAAACCCACCCTTGTTCCCAACAAAGCGCACCAAGGCGAAGAAGCGCTGGCTCCTCCAGCTGCAAGAAACCCGGAATCCTAAACCCAGCTCCCATGCACCCTGGACAGCCCCCACAGGGCCCTCGCGTTATAGGCCACCGTGCTCGGAGTCTTTGCCTGTGATGCTCAGGGTGTGAGGATTGGAGGCTTAGAGACAACTTCAGAGGGATTGAGGGTGCCTGATAAGCCCTCAACATCCCAAAAAGCGCTAAACCCTAAACCCTAAACCCTCACATCCCTAAACCCTAAAACACCTGCCGCCTTTCCTGGGCCTCCGAGCTGCTCCAATCTCCTGCAGGGCCCGCTGCCACTGCATGCCACGCCTTGGCAGACGCGGGGTTTCGGTGCATCCGCTAGGCTCTGAGGACTCATATTTGCTTAACCTGACTGATTGGAGAGTTAAAGGTTCGACCTACCAAGAATAATTCCAAGGATCCAAGGCATCTATACGGGTGGAGTCTGGGGCGTGCTGAGGAGTCTAGGCGCGAATTATGGCGGCAGACACCTGCAAAGAGAGCGGAACCCCTTGGCCCAGAAAGTTCACCCACCCTGAAGCCTCGAGTTCCAACTCTGAAGATTCCGCTCCAGACTACGGGCTTCGCCTTCCTCCCGCAGGGCCTGGATCTTAACAAGAGTCCCCTTTTTTGGTAGCATGCTCAATGAGATGCACGAGCCAAACTCCCGACTTCAAAAGCTTTGCACCCTAGCATGGTAGGCCGAAAGGCTCCAATGCTGTCATCAGTGAGTTGCTTGTGATGACATCTGGAACCAGCTCCTGTGCAGCTGAAGCTGGTTGAAGGAGGCTCTCAGAGGTCAGCCATGCCTACCCGAAACCTCCCAAAACCTTCCCACCATTGTTCTCCTATGTCTTCCTCCACTCAAGGGCCTTGGCCCTTCCAACTATCGGCAGCTCTCAGAACACGGAAAGAATTCTCTCGTCCAAGCCCATTGAGTCGACATCCGGGTCCTTCTGGGTCATCCAGTCCACAAGGACGAGCGCCCATCCCCACTGCCGCCCCTTGCCACACCTTTCAAGGCAAACTGCGTGGTTTGTGTCGGGGATGGCACAGCACCGCGTCCCCGCATGACTGGTCTGCTAGGAGCACTGAAGGAGGCGTCTGCCGTTGACATCTTGCGCACCACAATACTGAAGCCCAACCCGAACTGTGGCTTGGGCGCGCTGATGGCCGAGTTGCAGCTCACGGTGTCCAGTGAGCCCTTTCATGCTTGGGACTGCGTAGGAGAGTTTAGGAGGGTTCGGGGCTTTGGGTGGGAGAGTCTAGGCTGGGGGTCCTTGTGGCCTTCATGAAGGCAAGCTGCGAACGCGTGAACAGACAGATGAAAGGACCTCTCAAGCCCACTAGCTCCCAAGACCAAGACTTCTGGGCACAGGATTTAGGGCTTCGTGGAATACACCGCGCAGCTCGTACACGTGAACCTCTGCAGTAGCACCAAGACTCTCTCTTACCACCCGGTGCCACTTCCCTAATTGAACCCTACCCTACCCAGAATAACCATGCTCCCTTTGATTCCTCAAGAAAGGTCGACCTCCCCCAACAAATTCCCTGTGAAGCTTCCCTTGTTTAAGGGTCCACCGGTGTGTTCACGCGCACTGGAGAGATCCCGGCGGCATCGGTATTTCCTGGTGCTTCGTGCACGCCTCTCAGCGTTCTCGACATTGTCAGGAGAAGCCTACCGTCTCGGTTTTGCAGACCATGTTTTGTCTTGTTTCACTTCCAATAGTTCCAGCTCCTCAGAGCATCCATTCATCCATTCACGGGGTTTCTTGTGTTTTGTGTCGGCTCCGAACCCTTGCCCCTAGTCCTGAAACCCCTCGTCCTTGCCGCCTGCATGTGGGCGAAACCGAGCTGCCAGCGCATTTCTCGTGTAAGTTTTCAGCGGTTTTGGTTCCACTACCTGTCCGCCGAAAAGCTGTCCAAACCGGGACGATACTGCGCCTACCACGGAAATTGACGCTTCTCTAGATGCAACTTGTTTAAGGCTCAACTACTAAAAATGGAGAGTTCGCCATTCAGCGCGTTTTCGAAATTTACAGCACGCCGACCCACCCACCCACCCCCCCCCCCCTTCAACACTCTTCTCGCCAACCACCCACCCACCCACCCCTCACCCCCCTCACTTACAAGACACCTCGCCCCACACCACTAAGTAACCCGTCGGCACACCAGCCCGACAAATATCAGGCCCAAAATTCCCGAAACCATATTCCCACAACCCCGCTATACCCATATGCCGAACATCAAGCCCAAAATCCCAAGCCCAAAATTCCCGAAATCCTATTCCCAAAATCTCAACCTAAAACCTCGAAAAAACACCTTCCCCCATAAATCCCCGTTATTCCTCGACCCAGATTCCCGAACACACCGTCCCCCATAAATCCCCGTTATCTTTCAACCCAAACCCAAGCCGTAAAGCCCAAATCCCAAATCCTTAATACAATTACCCATAAGCCCAAAACCCACGAATAACAGTAAGGCTAAGTGGGGCAAGGTGTCTCTTATGAAAACGTAGTGGTGACCAGCCCAAGGAGACCCCTTATCTTGAATCAAGAAGCCCCAGAACTTGACTCAAGAAGCCCCCTATCTCGAACCAAGAAGCCCCCTACCTTCACTCAAGAGACCCCCTATCTTCACCAAAGATACACAACCCCAACCACCAACACACAAAGCACCACCCAAAAACAAATACAAAAATCCCGAAACAAAGCAACCTACCAAACCAACACAATTTTCCATAGCACAACTCAAAACCCAAAGCACCTAAACAATCCATAACCTTATCCATAAAATGGCAAATGGCAAATATCCTAATATGAGGTGTGGGGTAAGACCCTAATAGAAAAAACCCAAAAGACCTTAACCCTCAACTGGGGGATGTCGGACTCCCCAATTTTGGTCACGAGCGCGCTGCTCCACTTCACCTCGGAAGGTCCTGTTCAAAGCACACAACCCATTGCTCAATCTTCTCAGCCATCGCTGGCTGTTTCACTTTCTGCGTGGTCTTCCAACCCGTATCAAACTGAAACTGCGGAACGACAAAGAAGAATTTGGCCTTGCCGTCATGCTTTTTGCTAAGTGCATCCACAATCTTGGACGCTTGCGTCTTCGTCACGTCCATCGCCTTGCCACCGTCATTGAAGGTGATGTCATGTGTATCGGCAATCGTCAGCTGAAAGATGCCCTCTGAGGTCCATGAATCAAAAGCAGGAAAATTCTTGCTCTGCGGCTGGTAATACTTGCCATCCTTGATGTCGGGCGCAGGATTGCCTGAAATCAGCACTCCGTCAAGACCACCTTGGAGTTCTTGTGTCGTTTCAGACCCCGTCCCATCAGCTGTCAAGCATCTGGCTCGGAGCTTGAACTTGCCGATGGACTTGTCCTGCATGAACTGGTGGAACTCTTCCTCAAACAAGGCAAAACCGATGCCCGTAATCATCCCGTCATCAATACGATCCCAAAGAGCTTGGGCTCGTGTTGCTCTGTTTTGCTTCACCAGCTCTTGCCGAACATAGGGAGACGACAACTGCACATCAAACCAGCTGAAGTCTGCCCATGGCATCATCTTCACCAGCAAGTGCGTCGTCTTGCTTATGGCTTTCATGTCAGACGATACTTTAAGGGATTTTCGAACACAAAAACATATTAAACATCGAAAAGACAAGCCGTTATGGAATACAAACGAACTGAAAACAACACGTCCAAAACCCAATTCAGAAGCTGGTTATGCTAAACTCTACGCTATCATGCACTCATAAAATGTAGTTTAATATTATAATAATATCATATTAAGATTTCATTAGAGCCACCTTGTCCACTTTGCCTTACTGTTATTCTTGGGTTTAGAGCTTATGGGTAATTGTATTAAGGATTTGGGATTTGGGTTTTACGGCTTGGGTTTGGGTTGAAGGATAACGGGGATTTATGGGGGAAGGTGTTTTAGATTTTAGGTTGAGGAATAACGGGGATTTATGGGGGAAGGTGTTTTTTTCGAGGTTTTAGGTTGAGATTTTGGGAATAGGATTTCGGGAATTTTGGGCTTGGGATTTTGGGCTTGATATTTGGCGTATGGGTATAGCGGGGTTTTGGGAATATGGTTTCGGGAGTTTTTTTCCTTGATGTTTGTCGGGCTGGTGTGCCGACGGGTTACTTAGTGGTGTGGGGCGAGGTGTCTTGTAAGTCCCTCACCCATCCCCCCCCCCCCCCCCCCTCCCCCCCCCCCCCCCCCCCCCCCCCCCCCCCCCCCCCCACACATCCCCGCAATTCATTTGAAATAATGATTCGAACTCACTAAAAGCACTTGAAATTCAATGAAAAGTAGGCCAAAACCTAATTCAAGATCATGAAAAAAAGCAATTAAAATCTTCATTACAACGATAAAAATTCAATTTGAGTTGCTTTGCAATTGATTTTGTCACCATTTTCAAGTGAAAATATTGAATAGTGAAATCACTAGTGATTTCACCATTTAGTCACTTTGTCAATATTTTCAATTGAAAATGGTGACAAAATCAATTGCAAAGCAACTAAAATTGTATTTTTGGGTTTTTTATCGTTGTAATGGAAATTGTAATTGCGCTTTATGATCTTGAATTAGTTTGGCCTATTTTCATTGAATTTCAAGTGCTTTTAGTGAATTCGAATTATTTTTGTCTAATGAAATTGCGGGGATGAGCGGGGGGGAGGGGGGGGCTGGGTGACGGGAGGGGGGGGGTGGGTGACGGGAGGGGGGGAAAGGGGGCTGTGACCCCCCCCCCAAAATGAAAAGCCGCACTTCGTGGCGAACTATCTAACAATGGAGAAGAAGATGCTTCCCCATTTCCAGTACGAGTAGCTAGCCCAGTCTTCGGTAGCTTTCTCCCGTCCTGGCCTCCTTGAGCAACCCAAGCGCACTCCTGAGAAGATGCTGGGTCTAGGGTCTACCTAGTCTGGTATTGATGTATATGTAGCCTGGGTAAAACACATGTATAACAATACTACAGTGCGATATACATATGCATCCACCCTTGAAAATTTAATCCTGACTTTCCCCCATCATTCGGAACTGAGTCGTTGGTATTTGCTTTTCTCCATGTGAGGGTTGAGGGTTTGAAGACGAGGGCTTGGGTTGGGGCCCTTGAAGTGGAGGTCTGCGGCGTTCCAAGGCTGACCCATGAAATCCCTCAAACTCTATAGAACCATCTATAAAACAGTCTACACGAAACTCTGAGCACCAGTTCAGGTGCGCAGTCTTTGCAGCTAAGATTCTCCCATGCGTGACCTTTCTCACATGCAGCCAACGCAGCATTGCAGCCTGCAAGGGTAAAGAGCTTATGTTGCACACGACACGGTGTCTGTGCTGAAGAACTTTCATTCGGATATTCGGTAGTATCCCAACGTGTTCCACAACCTTTCCTAGCGATTCCCAGTAAATGCTCGCTATTTCGCCTCAAGAATCCCCTGGCAGGCCCCAAAATGACCCACATTTTGGGGATTCAACCAAACAAGACCAGCCAACCAAGCAACCATTAAACCTTCAACAGCTCAATCAAAAGAAGCCCTTCAACCATCAACGATCAATTTGACCATCAGTCGTCAAGTTGTCATCATCCTCATCATCATCATCATTCTCATCAGTCGTGAGTGCAAACATTACAGCAAAAGAGATAGTTCTAAGCGCCAAGCCTGGTCACCAAGCAGCCCCAATTCAGCAGACATGCGCAAGCTCGGCATGATTTGTTGCTGTCCGATGAAATCCCAACAGACCCTGCGGCCTGCAACTGTTGGCTCGACATGGAAGCTTGCCATGTCCTTCACACAGCAGGAAGGAACAGGAGCAAAACAAACTATCTTCGAACATCCCCACCCTAAAATTATGCAACTTGAAGGGCACTGTGGAATCATGTAGGGTTTAGGGCCAGGGTGCAACCCCAAACCGATGGAAAGAAAATTTGGAAGTTGGGGCATCTGCAAGGAATTCGCCCACACAGCTCGAGGACAGAACAGAAAACGAAGGCTGAGTCCTGGAACAAGTGCAAGGCGAGCAGCCAGGCTTTCGCCTGATTTCATAGGGATTCAACGCATGAGCGAGAAGTTAGAATGGGGGGGGGGGGTGCCAGATGACAGCGAACACGCAGCACTTTGAGCTGTAGTCATTGCCTCGTTCCTTGCAGCAGACACCCCAAAGCTTCATTTTGAGACCCACTGCAGAGCCGAGCTGGGCGACGGACGCGCCCACAACAAACCATGCAGACCTCCAGCGGCTTGACTTCGGCTTCGGGTTGAATTAGAAGCTTTGGCCGGGTTTAAGGCTCAGGGTCTCGTGGCTTGACCTGGACATGATGCGGAACCGGACGGAGATGAGACAGTTTGATGTGTCGCGATGTCAAGCCACCCGGGTGCAATCCAGCAAAGGCCGTTTGCCATGTCACAGGGGTGAGCTTTTCTTTCCTGTTGCGTTGTTTCGGGTTTCGGGTTTGGGGTTTAGGGTTTAGGGTTTAGGGCTTAGGGCTTAGGGCTTAGGGTTTAGGGTTTAGGGTTTAGGGTTTAGGGTTTAGGGTTTAGGGTTTAGGGTTTAGGGTTTAGGGTTTAGGGTTTAGGGTTTAGGGTTTAGGGTTTGGGGTTTAGGTTTAGGGTTTAGGTTTTCGGTTTAGGTTTAGGGTTTAGGGTTTAGGGTTTAGGGTTTAGGGTTTAGGGTTTAGGGTTTAGGGTTTAGGGTTTAGGGTTTAGGGTTTAGGGTTTAGGGTTTAGGGTGCGACATGGTCCCAGGTCGGATTTTGGAGGATTAGACCAGTCCCGCGTGCCATTGCCATGGCTAGAACATGCTAAAACAAAAACATCGGCGTTGCCTGGCCCAAAGCCCAAGGTACCGTACGCTAAGGATGATCCTTGAACATACTGTGCTGCTCAACGAGCGTTGCCCGCGCACGGCAATACCCTAGACCCTAAACCCTAAACCCTAGACCCTGGGAGAATCTGCCCCAACACGCGGGAGCTAAGGCAACTGCTTGAAAGGTCACCTCGTCCACCTCGCCAGCTGCTGCAGACGCAGCCAACCTAGAGATAGCGGCTGGATTCCCTGACCAGCGACTGCTAGTCACACCCAAACCCCTAAACCTTATCAACCTCAAGAAAAGAAGCTAACTCATCTTTATTTCCACCCGCCACGCGCTTCCAGCTATCCTCAAGCTATCCTCAAACTTTCGCATTTCGGGCCAGGGATGAGGGATGTCCTCACAGATCTGACGAGCAGCAGTTGCCTTGACTCGGTCCTTCGAGTCGAGATCAGGGTAAATTCAAGAGCGTCCCTCAGAGCTACAGAGCCAGCTTTGCCAACTTAGGGATCCCGAGCCTTTCAGCCCGCACTGCTCTGCACCTTTCCGAGGTACTGCTGGCAAGCAGCACCAAGCAGTTGCTGCGTAGTGCTGTCCTTGCTCAGATCCGGGACGGGGGGGGGTTGCCCTTACACTATGTTCTCATCGCTTTCGGCTTCATCGTGATCCTTGATGTACCCTTTACCTAAGAAAGTTGGAGAAGAAACCCAAAGAATGATAATCTCAGGGCGTCCATCCGCCGGGATTTGTGCCGCCGTCTGCCACTCCAGGCTCCCACCACAGGTGAGTGTGCAAGTGTGCACCCAAGCCGGGCACGGCTCGCAGACGCTCAGAGCTTGAGGTGCTCCGAAGCATAGCGCCTTATCACCCGGTCGAGGTAGAAGAGGATGGAGTCGTAGCCTAGCATGTGGAGTCGTGCTGTGAGACATCCTATGGAGGAGTGTTTTGCATCTCGGACTGCTGAGGCCAATGCCAAGATGTCTTTCTGCGAACATTTGAGAGGACTCAGCGATGCTCCTGGCCAGCTCGTCATTCCTGCACTGTGCAGAAGGGACAAGCTCGCCTGCAAAAGCTAGGAATCCCAACAGCCGCAGCTCTCTCCTTCTCAGCCACTCGAGTCGGTCCACAAGATCCTGAGCCGCATCAACCGATCCGGGGGGGGGGGGGAGGGAGGAAGATGCACAAACATGCAAAAAAAAAACAGCAAGCGCAGACGCGCGCGCGCGCGCAAGCTGCACCGGAAAAAGCACTGGGCCCCCGATCCGCGAGGTCAAATCGAACCGGCACAAAGTGCCGGTAGGGCCGCAGGGCCCCCCGCCGACCCAGAGCCGATGGCTCGGCGAGCAGCCAGGAGACCTGCGGCGTCTCGTGGTTCAGCACCACCTGGGACTCTTAAGGGTTTAGGGTTTAGGGTTTAGGGCTTAGGGCTTAGGGTTTAGGGTTTAGGTTTAGGGGGCACAGAGTAACTACACGACACACTCCCGTGGAATTGCGACAGCCTCTACACAATCTACACAACCACCTTCAATCAACTGGCTTCCAAAGCCTGCACCTGACCGCCCAGCATCTGCCAGTAGATTCGGTCGCCAGTGCCAGTACCCTCAATGTTGATCCCATACTTATATGCCAGCTGGTCCCAGAGCTTCACCGAAGGCGCCGTCATGTTCTCCGCTTCGAAGTATTGCCAAAGCTGGGGTTCCATGTTGCGCGAGATGCCCGTCCACTTGGCATCGACTGAATCTACGAACTGCGAAAGCAGCACAAGCACTCCTCGAGGTGTTTGGTACCAGTTTGAGAAATTCCACTTGGACGTGTGCCACTCATCGTGCAGCCCAATCAGGGCTTCCCGCCAGCCCTCAACACAGAGGCTCCATGGAACGGAACCATCAGCCACCTCCTTCAGCCAGCAGTGGTTGCTCACGTGGTTAGAGTTCGTCCCCCGCCAGAAGAGCTTTTCGACGCGCTGCTCCCAAGGATGCTTTGAAGCCACCTTGGGTAGCACTGCTGTGGTCTTGCGGCTTTGCCATGGGTGGAGCTGGTACTCAAAGGGCAAGGCAATATAGAAACCTCGGGGTGAACGGGGACGACTCCGGGTGAAGACGGGCACAGAGGACACGCCTGCATCGTTGTTGGTTGGGCTGACAAACATGTCGAGATCTGGCAGCGGCAGGTGAGTGCCAATGATGCGCAGCGCCACTTCCACCGCGCGCACGTAGGCACAGTCATTGCCAGGATCCACTGTCGTTTGGCACTGCGAGTGGTTGCATGGGATGAGGTTTCCACCTCCTGCAGCACAGTAAATCACTTCGGCACTCATGGGAATGCTGATCCGCAGCAGAGCAGCCATACTGCAGCAAAGCTGCGCACACGCACTCTGCATGGCAAGTAGCCCAGCTCTCCAGGTTTTGCATCACGCTGCTGCCGCATCTCCTGCACCAAAGCAGATGAAGGACTAGGAGTATCAACCAGCATAGTGCAACCATCTAAACGGTCTCTGTCATGAAGCTGAGAGTGTGCTTCAATGCAGCGCCACCTCCTCGAACAAATCGAAGTCTGCCTCTGTCCATCGTCGTTCGTGCAGCGCTTCAAACTCCTCATCGACATCCCCCTCCAACCTCATACGTGTGCTGCAGCCACCATGCAGCACCAAAATAACAAAACAACTGCAAGCAATTCTGACGTGTTTCCTGCCAAGTGCTTTGAGGGCCACCATGTGGCATCGTCCTCCTGGGGATTGAGAAGCCGTCGCCGCAAGCCGGGGAAGCAGCACTCAGCGAAGAGCGGCGGCAGCAAGCCGTCTCCAGTGTCTCCCCAGCAGCCAGGGTGGGGGTAGATGCAGCAGACCTGACAGCACACCCGCGCTGTGGCTACCAGTAATTTCTTAAGAACCCCCCGAAAAAACATATTCTTCCTTATAAGGGTAACATAGGGAGTATACTTGTTTTATTCTTTTGGGGTTCTTAAGCAAATAGTGGAGAACGGTCAACTTCCAGGCCCAATTTAGTCCCTGGACCTCTCTCAGAATCACCGGGTAGTTCTCAAGGGGTTGGACATCCTCACCCACTCGGGTCAGCAGAAAATTCCAATCGCAGTTCTCGTGCTCGGGTGCAGGTTCCAGGCAACAGAAGTCATAGCTGAACCAGCCGCTCATACCTGGTGGATGTCAGGGCTAGCAGGTAACGTGTGCGCGATATGGCCAATTCTGATGTCAGATGTGAGTTAGAACGATGTCAGATGAGAAAGGTCGGCCTCTGAAACACTGCCTGGCAGCAGCTTGGCTACTGCAGCAGTCTGCGAAGGTCAGGGCCTTGCGCCGACTGAAGGGCTCCCTCGAAGGGCTTACAGATCAAAATCAGAACCGCCTAATTACGTTTCAGTCTTAGGGTTTAGGGCTTCGGGTTGGCGGTCCTGCCTTGTTTTCGAAGTTTGGGTACTCCCAGCAGAGCCGGTTGCCGCCCTGCAGTTCAGCAGCGTCAGCACCGTCCGCAGCCGTGCCGGACGACAGGCCCAAGAATGCCTACTGACATGGACAAAAGATGCTTGAACAGCAAAGGAGTTCACAGGAAGGGCCCCACAAACGGCGGGGGAAGGTGTTGGCAGGTCGATGAAAGGTGCTCCCGTCTCGCGCTGAAGGAGGTCATGCCCAGCGCGTCACTCTGCCTCCCCGCCTCCCTGCCTCCCTCCCTGCAAACATGATCAACATGTAGGTGACTGCAGGCGGAAGACACAAGTTTTAGTTCTCCCCAAACTGCCGACCATACGCCTGAAGGCGTATCTGAAGTTAATTCAGCTGGGCCTCCCAGCCACACTCAGAACATCACAAACCTGAATGACTAATCGCACACACACACACACCCACGCCCCATTGTAAAATGAAACCTATCAACCCTAAAGCCCTCCTAGAATACCATTTACTTAAGACAAACAGGCAAAACATTTCTGCTCTCCAGGCACAGAAAAATCTATCACAAGATCAAAAGACGTGCAGACAAGGCTCTGGCAAGGCCGCAGACCACGCCCTTGACCAGCACATGGTGGGGACTCGTCTTTTTGCATAGCAACCCCGTGGAGTTCGCCCGCTTGGAACTTCACCAGAAAGCCCGGATCCCGGACGGCCAATGCGGCGCCATTGCAAGCAAGCTTAGCCTGTATGTTGATAGGGTCATGATGCAGGGTGATGGCTAAGTGCGGGTCTCTGAGCAAGGGATGAGCTGACTCTATATATATATTTCTATTTTATTATATTATATCATATCACAATATATTATATGACATTATCTTATATTATGTTATATTAGATCATATTAGTATACATATATATATATACATACATACATACATACATACATACATACATACATACATACATACATACATACATACATACATACATACATACATATACACGTAGAGGGAGTGCAAGAGGGCTTGGACCAGGACTCAAAACCCTAGCCCGTGCAGGCACATCGCGAAAACAGTGAAATGCCAAGTGGAACACCCCACTCGATTTTTACAATCTGCCGGGTGCCGGGCAAAGCCAAAGCGGTCGGCCAGTGCGACCCCTGTTTGGGGTGGTATGCTTGCCCGAACATACTGTACTCTAAGCATCCGAACCCTAAACCCTACAACCTAAACCCTACAACCTAAACCCTAAACCTAAACCCTAAACCCTAAACCTCCAGGTGTTCAACAGGTTCTGTGGGACAAACGTCAGACGCAGAGAGCGCCAACCCAAGCCTCGCCGTAGGCGCGCAGGACGGTACTCAACCTCGCACACATGTTCGGCTTTTCGATTCCACGATTTGTGGGAGCTCCCCCCTTTGAGGAGTATGAGGAGTCGCTGAGTACTTACCTTCAAAAGGGGGCAAAGCCTCAACAAGTGAAGGGCTTGGGTGGCCATGCTGCAACATCTGCCGGCAGAGAGAGAGAAGAGTCAAGGAGATGCCGAGTCGCCGTCACTTGCTTGTTGGCGTCGGCCTTTCAAAGACTCATTGTAGGGCTTCTTGCTTCAGGAATGTGCGGCTGTTAGGGCTTACGGGCCGAATCAGTTGATGATGCTTTGAGCAGACAGGCTCAACAGTCAGATCCTGAACACACACACACACACAAATCCCCGACAGCTCACCATAAACCCCCTCTACCCTGACGTAAAACTTCCCAGATTGCACCTGCCAATGGCCCATCTGGCCAAAGATCTCCAGGGCCACGGCCTGTGTGGATCTTGGCATCGGTATCAGGGGCCAGCATGTCGGATTCAGGAGCTTTGCCAGCTGCGGGCTGTGAAGCTCGAACTCATGCTCCCCAAGTTTGCAACATCAGCAACACTGTGGCTCCTTTAATGTGATAAACCTAAACCCTAAACCCTAAACCCTAAACCCTAAACCCTAAACCTCCGTAAACACAAGAAAAGGCCCACTTTGGCCGAGCCGAGAGAGCCGAGGGAGCCACCCACTTCCTGGCCGCAACCTGGGCTCTTCCAGGGTTTAGGGTTTTAGGGTTTAGGGTTTCGGGTTTAGGGTTTTAGGATGGTTTAGGGTTTAGGGTTTAGGGTTTAGGGTTTAGGGTTTAGGGTTTAGGGGTTTAGGGGTTTAGGGGTTTAGGGGTTTAGGGGGTTTAGGGGCTTTAAAAATTTAGGGGTTAAGGGATTAAGGGTTTAGGGGTTTAGGGGTTTAGGGGTTTAGGGGGTTCAGGCGTTTAGGGGTTTAGGGGTTTAGGGGTTCAGGGGTTCAGGGGTTTAGGGGTTTAGGGGGTTTAGGGGTTTAGGGGTTTAGGGGTTTAGGGGTTTAGGGGTTTAGGGGTTTAGGGGTTTAGGGGTTTAGGGGTTTAGGGGTTTAGGGGTTTAGGGTAGCAAGCAGTAGTACGTAGAAGTTAGTGCTGGTAAAGATTCTTGTGCGACCGTCAGGCTCAAGAACAGTAGCAAACCTTTGCAACAGGAGGGACAAACCCCGCAGAGAAGTGACAAACCAAAATCACCCATTTCAGTACCAAAACTTTCCACCCAGAAGCAGTACAAGTGGAAGACATGCTTGCCCGAAAACAGAAGAACCTACTCTAGAATCTGGACTCTCCATGAATGAAGGAGGCACTGCGGTTCACTCTGAGACCCATGCGCAAGCGCTCATGGCTGTGTTGAAGACAGCAGCCTTTCTTGCGCGAGGAAGGAACGACGAGGAGGAAGAAAAATCGTAGAAACTGAGCCAAGCGCATCTGCCTGGTGTCCAAGCGCCTGTGCTGAAGACTGGGGTTTAGGGTTTGGGTTTAGGGTTTAGGGTTTAGGGTTTAGGGTTTAGGGTTTAGGGTTTAGGGTTTAGGGTTTAGGGTTTAGGGTTTAGGGTTTAGGGTTTAGGGTTTAGGGTTTAGGGTTTAGGGTTTAGGGTTTAGGGTTTAGGGTTCAGGGTAATCGTGGATCTGCGGGCTGGAACATGGCCTGCGTGAAAAGGCTCAGCGACACTTCCCACCTCAAGCAGCAGCTCAAGCCTAAAGACCATGCAATCCAATGGAACCTGAAAATCGTCATGGGGCTAGTTCGTGTCTGGCATCCGTAATGTTCACCATTGCAAGGTCTGGTGGGCTCATGATGGGCGTGGACCGATGCAAGATCTCACTTGTGAAGTCCTTCTGCTCAGGTCTGCCAAGCTCCCTTGTCCTAACGCCCCAATGTTGTCAACACTGCAAAGGCAGCGAGAGCGACAAACGATCGAGACTCGCTTTGGAAAAAGAGACATCACTCATCAAAAAAGTGCCAGACATGCAGCTGAACGACTTTCGCTTAGGAGAAGCAACGAGCACACGATAGACGAGGACAAACCAGGCGCGGCATGCGAGGGAGTCGTCAAACTGTGTCACGCAGTCAAGTACTACAAGGGCATCATCACCCGGGACTCTCCTACAGTTTGGTAGGAACTACCCTTTAGTAGTAGGTCTATCCCAGAAAACTGTAGGTAAAGCGGGTTCCAGTTAATGTCCTTCTGATCGTTGCCGAGCGCCCTGAGAGCAGTAAGCCTGCGGCTGGCGCAGCCGCCCAGCCTCCTTTATCTGCCTCGTCAGCCGCCTCAGCTGTCTATATATATAAATACACACACATATATATATATATATATAAATACATATGTATATATACATATATATATATATATGAGCTGTGCACGTTTATAAAGGTACATATATAAGTACCTCATTCCAAGGAAACAAGAATCCTTCCGCTTGGTTGGCTTCCCCAGAGCTTCCGGATGCTTCCGCGCAGGATCTCCACGTGCTCGCTTCCGCAAGCTTGGGCAAAAGGGATTTGCAGTCCATCGTTGGAGTTTCGCTCGCATAAGCTGAACCTTTGGATTGTCTTTCTTACTTGATCTTCATCTGCTGTCACACTGCCACACCCTCTGCGGAGCTTATGCAGAACTTAGGGTTCCCTGAACCCTGGGGTTCCCTGAACCCTGGGGTTCCCTGAACCCTAGGTTCCCTGAACCCTAAACCCTAAACCCTAAACCCTAGACCCTAAACCCTAAACCCTGAACCCTAAACCCCCGGCTTCTTGACAATGGCCATCCCTGGTCTTCGGCACTGGAGGGAATCTGGGCTTTCAAGGGTCGCGGTGGATTCACCGTGATGCCCACAACTGTCACCAAAGTGTATTCTGGCTTTGAGAAGTGCTGCATGAATCTGTGGCTGAAGAGCACTTCGAATGGCCAATCAGGGGCATTGTATCTCAAAAGCCCCATACATGTCAAGGCGTGGTGCTTGGGATCTGGCGGGAGCGCCATCCGAGCGCCCAAGCATGGCAGCCGCGTCGCCGGCAATTTGGCAGCCTGCAGCTCTACATAACCGGGAACTTTTTTTTGCCACGGTAGCACCACAAGTACATCTGCGATGTTGTGGTTTGGTTGCTTGAAGACTCGCTGACTATCTCGCTCTCGCTCATTTCCTTGGTTGCCTTCGTCATCTGACTAATTGCATTCGTCATCTGATTACCCAGAGTAACTTCTGGCACTCCTCTTCACCACTTCTGCAAATGCATGTCGTTGGGAGCATTGCCCAACAACATGCGCTGCTTCGCACATAGCCACTGTGTATTCCGGTTTAGGGGGGGGGGGGGGGGGTTGCCGGATCTGAAAGTCGAAGCGAAAGCGCCGCGCACTGAAACGCACTGCGAGATCGGCTTGGAGAGAAGCAGAGGGGTGTCCTTCTGGGCCACTCCAGGAACACCAGCAGAAAAGCAGGGTGGGGGGCTCCTCTCGCCATCTTCCGCATGGCACCGTAGGAGCCACTCCATCCAGGTTGGGGCTCTGGTCCACTCTTAGAGCAATGATTCGGCGGGTCAGCCATGTGGTCATGCTGGACTCTGTGGTCTGCCGACGAGAATCCTTCCAGAGGAGGGTTTAGGGTTTAGGGTTTAGGGTTTAGGGATCTTGGGGCAGTGGGGGTGGAGCCCGACCTCTCCCCCGTACAGTACGAGCGCTGATGGTGGGGGCCATATCCGGAGGCTATTGTCCGCTGTCGGCCAAGCGCAGGTGCAGGGCGTAGCGGCGGACAGCACGGTCCAAGTAGAACAGCACTCCATCATAGCCTCAGGTCTCTGGTCGCAAGACCTTTCTGCAGGAGCGATAGCAAGTTCTCGTGCAGCTAAGCCTGCGGCCCAAGTACGTCTCTGCGACGTGAGTGGCTGCTGACGCTATGGAAGCGGCCACCTCATCATTCCTGCCAAGCACCGTTCCTAATATCATGTAATCATATAATGATAGAACCAGAAAATCAGATCACCCAATATGACAATCTGGTAATATGGAAATTCTAATATACTGTAATCATATAATGATAGAACCAGAAAATCAGATCACCCAATATGACAATCTGGCAATCTGGAAATTCTAATATAATGTAATCATATAATGATAGAACCAGAAAATCATATCACCCAATATGACAATCTGGTAATATGGAAATATTCCTAAACCCTAAACCCTAAACCCTAAACCCCTACGTTCCGAAGGGTGAGAAATGGCGCATCAAGTCCCTCGGGCGACCGAAGGCCTCTGCAGCCAGTCCACGTGCTTGACCAAGTCCTCGGAGACGAAGTGCAGACGGGGCTCTAGGGTTTAGGGTTTAGGGTTTAGGGTTTAGGGTTTAGGGTTTAGGGTTTAGGGTTTAGGGTTTAGGGTTTAGGGTTTAGGGTTTAGGGTTTAGGGTTTAGGGTTTACGGTTTAGGGTTTAGGGCCCTGCTCCAAAAGAGAAGCTGTTAAGAGGGCTGTACTGAAAGCAGGGGGCTCCGAGGTCATAGCGCACAGGGACATAGTGCTTGAAAGGCTTCAGGATACCACGGCGGCTTCGGTTGGCGAGATCCACCAGGAGCCACGCCACCTGTGAGCTCTCGTGGTTCAGCACCACCTGCTGCTCAGCATGTTCCCGTTACTTCTCCTAGGCCCAAGCACCAAGCTGTCGGGGACGTCTTAAGACAGCAGCGTGCTTCTTCTACTTTTCGAACCATGTCCCTGCAACCCACCTGTCCCATCTGAAGCTGCCAGTACACACGATCGCCATTCCCGGTGCCTTCAATGTTCATCCCATACTTGTACCTCATCTGCTCCAGTGCCTTCAGAGCGTCGGAGGTCATGTCCATCCTCTCGAAGTACTCCCACAAGTCAGGCTCCATGGCGTGCGAGGTGCCTGTCCACTTCGCGTCGATGCTGCGGACGTAGTGGGACAGAAGGACCAAGGCGCCGCGCGGGGTGTTGTACCAGTTCGTGGAGTTCCACATCAGCGCGAAGCGCTCGTCCCAGAGGCCCAGGATCTCATCTTGCAAGCCTTCTAGACATGCACTCCATGGCACAGATCCATCTGACACCTCCTTCATGGAACAGGGCCGGTTCACCCAGTTGGAGTTGGTTCCCCTCCAGATCAGCGTCGCAGCCCGGGACTCCCAGGGGAACTGGGCCCTGGCCTTGCGGAATCCGGCTGTGGCTTTGCGGCCCTGCCAGGGGTGCAACCTGAGTTACTGTCCTTGAGAGGAGAAAGCACTGAGTATTATCAGTGACCCTGCTGTGGACGTACAGTACCGTTTCAGCCTGGCTGAATCATGTTTGTTCCTCTTCTTCTCGTGGTAGACTTACGTTCCTTAACAGCAACCCAGCAACTGCCACTCGAAGGGCAGGAGCACGTAGAGCCCGCGAGGCTCCTGCGGGCGGCATCGGGTGAAGATAGGAACGGGCCAGTCGCCCGCGTCGTTCTCTGTGGGGCTGATGAAGAGATCCACGTCTGGCAGCGGAAGATGTGTGTTCAGGATGCGGAGTGCAATCTCCACGGCTCGCACGTAGGAGCAGTCATTGGCGGAGTCGCGAGAAGACTGGCACTGCCGCCAGTCGCAGCCGATCATTTGCCGCCCGTGATCTCCTGTCTTTGGCAAAACTTTCGAAGCCCCCAACAACCTAAGTGTTGAGCCCTTGCACCTCATCTCCCCACTTGTTTCAGCTTAGGGCTTGATCCGGGCTTGGGAGGTCCGATTCGGATGCGGCAGGGAAGATCCACCAGCTTCCCCGGGCGCGTCTCGCGGACACGATCCATTTCCTCGTGAGGGGAGAACCCCCGCCCCCCCCCGTTTCCTCACAAAAACCTCCCGAAATCCCTCAAGAAAACTGAGCTAGCAGTTCGGGCCTCGGCGAAGGCATCCAGCTCCCACTTCGACCACGTCCGCCCCTCCAAAGGGCGGAACTCCTCCTCCAAGTCCTCTTTGGCCCTGCGAACTTCGGCGCAAGAACGTAACCACAAAAACGACCTACAACCACTTCAACGGCACCGCTGGCAGATCTGCCAGCAGCTCCATGCATCATTCAAAGCATGGGGACGGGATCATGACAGAAACCCTAAACCCTAAACCCTAAACCCTAAACCCTAAACCCTAAACCCTAAACCCTAAACCCTAAACCCTAAACCCCAAACCCTAAACCCTAAACCCTAAACTCATGCTCACACGACTTCTCAAGAGAACCCCAGTCCAGCTTCCAGCGCCATCCGGGTCCAGGAGCATCCGGCGCAAGCCCGGAAAGCAGCATTCAGCAAAACCTTCCGGCAGATCCCCTTCGCGAGCCGAAGGCCAGCAGTTGCCGTGCGGAAACACGCAGCACACCTCCCCATGGCCACAGGGATATGAAACCACGAAAAAGTATCGATTTTGTTTATGTCGAGTCTAGATTCTGAATTACAGGCACATTCAAAGCCCTGGTCAGACATGTCAACTCCCAGCAATGACCTGGTGTGTTGCAGTGCCGCTAAGGCAGCACCAGACCCATGTCTTCAAGGGGCGCACCTCGCGCAGAACCACCGGGAAGTTCTCAAGGAATCGAAGATCCTCCTCTAGGCCTTTGGTGACTTTCTCGTTTCCAACACAGTGCAAACAACAAAGTAGGCACACATAAGTACATGCATCCTCACACGACAGACCCAACGGCGGCTGGATTTGGAAGGCGATTGATTGCAGATGATGGGGTGGAGGGGTCAGTTTGGACATATTGAAAGACTTCCCTGCCTTGCTCCACTTCAACCCTTCTATCCAGGATTTCCCCCAAAAAACGGCAGCAATAAAATAGTCTTTACACTCAAAGACTTTCAGCCCAAAATCCCAAGTGACGAAACCTGGAATGAAAGCAGCCCCAGCTGTCTGACCTGGCAAGATGGGTTTTGTTACCTTGGTCATTGGGTCCCCGTGAAAACCTGACCCTTAAAGAGATGCACAACTTGATCCAAACTGTCGCAGTCTCATCGGAAGCGCGCTGATGCATTTCTGGCACGCATGACATCGCATCCGAGTGGTGAGCGAGAGAGAGCGAGAGAGAGTGGCTTCTCCAGCCAGGATTCCACGAAAGTGCTAGGCCGTAACTCTGGTCCAACATGGATCCCTGAGTCTCCTCATTGGGAATGCTCTTTCACGGATTTTTCCGGCTGTGTGCCATGGGCTGGTGCCGAACTCAGCGATGGCACAACAATGAGAAATATTGACAGACATGGTCATTCACACTGAACGGAGAAGAAGTCAAAGGAGGAAATGCAGGAACGAGGAAGGCAAAGAGCACTTGACCACTTGAGGGCCCGGCCGTTCACCACTTGAGGCCAGCTGCAATTCTCCTATACTCCCCTTAGAACCTTAATGAAAAATGATATGTTGAATATCCTCTTGGGTTTTATATAAACAAAAAGTTAGAAAAAATGATTCCCAAGGGGGATATAGTCTCATGCTCCGGAGCCGGTGGCAGGCAGCAGAAGTCGAAGGTATACCAGCCGTCCATGCGATCGAAGCATGCAGAGGCCGCCCCCTCGCTCCCGCAGCACTCCCCGAAGCTCAAGGCCTTATGAAACAGGTTGCGTCGGTTGCGTGTGCTTTTCAAACAGCACGCAGACTTAACTGCGCTTTAAAGCGATACTGAGCATGCTGAGAACTGAGCACCACGCACGATCCTGGAAGTTGGCAGACTCCCAGCACAGAGGATTGCCTTCGGGCTCCTGCCAGTGGCAAGCACTCAACTCCGAGCAAGCCCCTCAAACACCAAGGCTGCCTAGGGCCCCACAAGGAAGCAGCGCCCAAAGCAGGACATTGGCATGCCTCGCCCTGGGCAATCCATGGCACGAAGCGGACGAGGAGAGCTGCAGCGAGGGCAAGGCTGCGCGACATGACCCAGGAAGCATGCTAGCAATGGGCACAAAAAAGGATGTAAGAGGTGCTTCTTCGTCTTTGAAGCTCCGTGTTGGCTGTTGTATGTGTAGGTGCTTGCCGGTATTTGCCAGAGAGGCAGCGACATACTAACGCACCAAATTCATTGCACCGCGTGCGCTGCTCTGTGTCTGAATTGCGGCGGCAAGAACGTTCCATCCCTCCCAGCCCTCACAGGTGCCTCAACCCTAAACCCTAAACCCTAAACCCTAAACCCTCCCAGCCCCTTGCACGTCCGAAGTCTGCGCGGTACCATGTTGGGCCTTCGTCTTGCAGGACCAGCATGGCTTGCTCTGGGCGTCAGACAGGCCTAGTGCTGTGAACCTCTAGACAACTATACCCGTTCTCTGCTTGTGGCGAGACTTCAGCATGTGCTGACGTGTGCGAAACCCTAAACCCTAAACCCTAAACCCTCTGACGCGAAGCATTGCGCTGCGAGGACGCATACGGGCAGCAGGGAAAAGCACACCTTGAGGGCCGCAGGCGAGCAGATGTGAAAAAGAGAGCTGAGAAGTCCACTGCTTTGGGGGTTTTAGGGGGTTTAGGGGTGTTTAGGGTTAGGGTTTAGGGTTTAGGGTTTAGGGTTTAGGGTTTAGGGTTTAGGGTTTAGGGTTTAGGGTTTAGGGTTTAGGGCTTAGGGCTTAGGGGTTAGGGTTTAGGGTTTAGGGTTTAGGGTTTAGGGTTTAGGGTTTAGGGTTTAGGGTTTAGGGTTTAAGGTTTAGGGTTTAGGGTTTAGGGTTTAGGGTTTAGGGTTTAGGGTTTAGGGTTTAGCCTAAGTGTCCCCTTCGGGCAAGAAACCGAGTCAGCTGAGACATGGGGTGCCTGGGAGCTGGCTGAACCTTCTGCACGCATTTCTCCAGGTACCTGAGAGCAGGCAGAGCGAAGCAAGGAGAAAGAGAGAGAAGAGAGAGAAGAGAGAGAAGAGAGAGAAGAGAGAGAAGAGAGAGAAGAGAGAGAAGAGAGAGAAGAGAGAGAGAGAGAGAGAGAGAGAGAGAGAGAAGAGAGAGAAGAGAGAGAAGAGAGAGAAGAGAGAGAAGAGAGAGAAGAGAGAGAAGAGAGAGAAGAGAGAGAGAGAGAGAGAGAGAGAGAGAAGAGAGAGAAGAGAGAGAAGAGAGAGAAGAGAGAGAAGAGAGAGAAGAGAGAGAAGAGAGAGAAGAGAGAGAAGAGAGAGAAGAGAGAGAAGAGAGAGAAGAGAGAGAAGAGAGAGAAGAGAGAGAAGAGAGCGAGAGAGTGAGACCAAAAAAACTCTCAACCCCAAAACAACTCTAAACTAAAACCCTAAACATCCCTAAGCCTTAGAATCCTTCGGCCCAAGCGCCTCAGGCTGTGAAAGGGCACTTCGCCAGCACGATGCCCCCGTCCCAGGCGCGCAGGCCAGTAGCCACGTGGGACCTGCATAAAGGTGTTAGGGTTTCGAGTTTAGGGCTTAGGGTTTAGTGTTTGGGGTTTAGGGTTAGGGTTTAGGGTTAGGGTTCAGGGTTCAGGGTTCAGGGTTCAGGGTCAGGGTTCAGGGTTCAGGGTTCAGGGTTTAGGGTTTAGGGTTTAAGGGTTTAGGGGTTTTAGGGGGTTTAGGGTTTAGGGTTTAGGGTTTAGGGTTTCGGGTTTAGGGTTTAGGGTTTAGGGTTTAGGTTTAGGGTTTTTAGGTTTAGGGTTTAGGGGGTTTAGTTTATGGTTTCGGGTTTAGGGTTTAGGGTTTAGGGTTTAGGGTTTAGGGTTTAGGGTTTAGGGTTTAGGGTTTAGGGTTTAGGGTTTAGGGTTTAGGGTTTAGGGTTTAGGGTTTAGGGTTTAGGGTTTAGGGTTTAGGGTTTAGGTAAATTTTAGGTGCTAATGATAGGCTTTTCACGTGTTTTGGGGTCTGGGAAGCTCCTTCAGCTTGAGGGGCTCGAGGCAAGTCCGAACGAAACGAAAACCCCAAACCCTAGAAACCCGCAACCCTGGAAACCCCCAACCTCACTTCCCTCCCCTCATCCGAAAGCCTAACCCCTCATCCCTAAACCCTAGACCCCCTCAACGCCCTCAGCCGCCTAAACCGCCTACTGTAAACCCCCTACTGTAAATCCCCTACCGTAAACCCTCTAGACCCCCTAAACCCTAAACCCCCTAAACCCCCGAAACCCCCTGGACTCCAAACCCTGAGACGAGCTGGGCCTCTGAGAGTTCACAGGGTCAACCGCAAGGATCAGCGGCCTCGTTGGTGGTTTTAGGGTTTAGGGTTTAGGATTTAGGGTTTAGGGTTTAGGGGTGTAGGGGTTTAGGGGTGTAGGGGTTTAAGGGTTTAGGGGTTGGGGGTTTGGGGCTGTGGGGTTGGGGTTTTGGGTCTGACTGTTTGAGGGTCCGGGGTTCAGGGTTCGGGGTTGAGGGCTTAAATTGAACAAGCAAGATGCACGCATGGCGCGTCGGGAAAGATTCAACTTTCCAAGGTACCTTCCGTTGATCTGGAAGTCGCCCTTGAAGTTGTAGCTCATCATCAGCGACTGCAAGGATAATATAATCCAAGATAATACAATATAGTATAATATAATATAATCTAATCCAAATAATACAGGATGGTATATTATAATATCTGTAATATTTATATTTAATTTAATATAAACATAAAAATAGTATAGTATAATATAATGTAATCTTAGTACAATATAATATAATGCATGTGCGCTTCACAAGCTCTGCCCAGCTCTGCTCTGCCTTGGCATTGGTGAAGACCCGCTTGCTGGCGCAGGGCAGCTGCGCGCCGCCTCGTGAGAATCCCCGCATGCGAGAACCGGCTTTTAGGGTTTAGGGTTTAGGGTTTAGGGTTTAGGGTTTAGGGTTTAGGGTTTAGGGTTTAGGGTTTAGGGTTTCCTTCCGAGTTCGATTCCAAAGCTCGCCTGGCATGGCCTTGGGCATCGTGGTCTGGGCAGCGGGGGTCCTTGCCGAAGTGCGGAGGGCCCTCGTTGCTGAGAACATTTGGGGACTGTGATTCGGGGGGTTCCAGGGCTACCTGAATAATATTAAATAAATAAATAAACAAATAAACAAATAAACAAATAAATAAAGAATACTAATAATAGATAAATAAACAAATAAATAAATAATACTAACAATAAAAAAAGAAAATGGGACGCTGTGGGAGTGCACTTTTTTGTAACAAAAAATGCAAAATCTCAAACAAAAACCTAAAAAAACACGAAAGACTGTGTCCTTCAAAAACATTGGTAAAACCAATGTTATCCATGAATTTCGTGCTCATTTTTTGGAAAACGTCGGTTTTGCCAATGTTTTTCAGCTCCATCCTTCAACAACATTGGCGAAACCAATGTTTTTTCCATGATTTCGTGATCTGAGGCTCTCTCCCAGCCACCATTTCTCGAGGAGGTACCAAAAGCAAACTCGAATCCTGCAAAATCTCGAGAGAGTACCAAAACCTCCATATAATCAATCACGCCCCAATACGCAAGACAGGACATCTATCCTGAAAACTATACCTTAGCTAGGGTATCTCAAGCAGTCATCCCCCAACAAGCAAAACCTAATATCTATACAAAAACCTAAAAAAACACGAAAGACTGTGCAAAAAGGTATAATACACAAAACAAAAAACCAAAAAAACCAAAAAAAACAAAAAAACCAAAAAAACCAAAAAAACCAAAAAAACCAAAAAAACCAAAAAAACCAAAAAAACCAATCCTGAGAGACTCTTCCCAGGGGTCCGGGTCCCCAACAGAGTCCCTCAGGATTGGTTTTTTTGGTTTTTTTGGTTTTTTTGGTTTTTTTGGTTTTTTTGGTTTTCTGGGGGGACTCTGTTGGGGACCCGGACCCCTGGGAAGAGTCTCTCATATTTTTTTAAAGGTTTTGTGGGATTTTATGTCTGAGTGCCCTCTTGTACGTGACAAAAGCACTAACATGGGCAATCCAGCACACCGCATTATGTGTTTCTCTCATCTGGTGGGCGATGAACGAAATGTCCTGATGCTTGCGAGCGAGAGACGTGACAAAATACTCTCTAGGTCCTGCTTTGCACAAATTTGAACAACATTGATATATTATCCATGAATTCCGTGCTCCCAGCCACATGGTTTGAAAAGCATGGATTTTTTGGAAAACATTGGTTTTACCGATGTTTTTCGGCTCAATCCTTCAAAAACATTGGTAAAACCAATGTTATCCATGAATTTCGTGCTCATTTTTTGGAAAACGTCGGTTTTGCCAATGTTTTTCAGCTCCATCCTTCAACAACATTGGCGAAACCAATGTTTTTTTCCATGATTTCGTGATCTGAGGCTCTCTCCCAGCCACCATTTCTCGAGGAGGTACCAAAAGCAAACTCGAATCCTGCAAAATCTCGAGAGAGTACCAAAACCTCCATATAATCAATCACGCCCCAATACGCAAGACAGGACATCTATCCTGAAAACTATACCTTAGCTAGGGTATCTCAAGCAGTCATCCCCCAACAAGCAAAACCTAATATCTATACAAAAACCTAAAAAAACACGAAAGACTGTGCAAAAAGGTATAATACACAAAACAAAAAACCAAAAAAACCAAAAAAAACAAAAAAACCAAAAAAACCAAAAAAACCAAAAAAACCAAAAAAACCAAAAAAACCAAAAAAACCAATCCTGAGAGACTCTTCCCAGGGGTCCGGGTCCCCAACAGAGTCCCTCAGGATTGGTTTTTTTGGTTTTTTTGGTTTTTTTGGTTTTTTTGGTTTTTTTGGTTTTCTGGGGGGACTCTGTTGGGGACCCGGACCCCTGGGAAGAGTCTCTCATATTTTTTTAAAGGTTTTGTGGGATTTTATGTCTGAGTGCCCTCTTGTACGTGACAAAAGCACTAACATGGGCAATCCAGCACACCGCATTATGTGTTTCTCTCATCTGGTGGGCGATGAACGAAATGTCCTGATGCTTGCGAGCGAGAGACGTGACAAAATACTCTCTAGGTCCTGCTTTGCACAAATTTGAACAACATTGATATATTATCCATGAATTCCGTGCTCCCAGCCACATGGTTTGAAAAGCATGGATTTTTTGGAAAACATTGGTTTTACCGATGTTTTTCGGCTCAATCCTTCAAAAACATTGGTAAAACCAATGTTATCCATGAATTTCGTGCTCATTTTTTGGAAAACGTCGGTTTTGCCAATGTTTTTCAGCTCCATCCTTCAACAACATTGGCGAAACCAATGTTTTTTCCATGATTTCGTGATCTGAGGCTCTCTCCCAGCCACCATTTCTCGAGGAGGTACCAAAAGCAAACTCGAATCCTGCAAAATCTCGAGAGAGTACCAAAACCTCCATATAATCAATCACGCCCCAATACGCAAGACAGGACATCTATCCTGAAAACTATACCTTAGCTAGGGTATCTCAAGCAGTCATCCCCCAACAAGCAAAACCTAATATCTATACTAAACACTGTACCTTGGCAACATATTTTAAGACATCACGCCCTAATGTTCCTACCAATTTAATAAGGCTCCTATCAATTTAAACAGGGTTCTTATTCATGTTACTAGGATTCGCAAAGGGTTTTAATTAATTTTAAGGATTAGGCTCATATTAGTTTAGTAGGATTCTTATTAGTTCTTGTTAAAGGCTTCTATTGTTTTTTCAGGCCTATTGGTTCCTATTCATTTTAGTAAGATTCCTTCTCGTTTTAATAGGATTCCTGTGAATTGCAACCCGGGTTCTTTCTGATTTGTCAAGGGTTCCTATTCATTTTAATCGGCTTCCGTCCTATTATCTGTTATCCGGTTCCGATATTTCAATAGAGGATTCCTATTCATTTTCATAGGATTCCAATAAAGTTTCATAGGGTTCCTAATTATTTTAATAAGGCCCCTACTCATGTGATAAGATTCCTACAAATTTTAATCAGATTCTTGTTCATGTTAATGGGATTCGTATTAATATTAATAGGGATCTCATTCACTTTAAAGGGGTTCCTATTGGTTTAGGCTCATGAAGGATTCTTATTTTTTGTGAAGGGCCTCCAATTCATGTTAAGAGGCTTCCTATTGACTTTACGGCTCCGATTGATTTAACATAGGGTTCCTGCGGATTTAAATAGAGGATTCCTATTGTTGTTTCTAGGATTCCAATAAATCTGGCTCATTTATATTGAAAACGGGGACAGGACATACACCGTATCGCTGCTTTGTGTTGGCGCACTTGCATGTTGCGCATGACTCGCGATTTTGTTTATATAAAATAGGGGTACGCTGTGAGTGTTTTTAAAATATCTTTAAACAAATGGAAAAGGTGCACTCCCACAGCGTCCCGGTCTCTAAAAAAACAATTATAATAATAAGTAACTGCACCATGTCCTGCACTGCACACCCGGATGTGCCAAGTTCGCAGGCCATTGGGCCTGAGACCGTCAGCACGACTGCATTGCCACAAGCAGCGCTGCTACCCTGACGCATGCCTGATTTCCCGTGCTTTCGCCAAACTCTGGTTCTGTCATGTTCTGTCCATGTCCTCTCCTCTTGGGCGTGAGCCTCTCTGGGTGTGGCTGCATTCGTGAGTCTGAAGATGTCTGAAGCACTGTCCATTCGACCCTCCTTCGAGGCCTCGGCCCTGTGAATTCCTGTCATGACCCTAACACCGAGCGGGATCTAGCCCACAGTCCTTAGCCCCGCCTTTGCCACGCGGTTCGGTACTATGCGCCCGTTTCGAGGCTCCTTTCGGGTACATACTCCATTCCAGTGGAGACCCTGTGCCCTTGGGCCTGTGGCTGCATAGCCCAGGCCGGGCTGGAAGTGGCCGCGCTGTTCGCATAGCCGTAAACCGGGCCGTGGACTACGCGCACCTCGGCCGTGTAAGCATCAGGTTTTCGGGCTCAGGGTTTCGGGTTTCGGGTTTAGGGCTTAGGGTTTGGAGGTTAAAGGACCCAGTCGGGCTGAACCCCAATGGCCCCCGAAGAGGATGCGTCAACTTGCACTTGGGAGGGTTTAGGGTTGAGAATTCAGGACCTAGCGACTTCAATTCGCCGCTCCTATTGCTCCAAGCCAGAGTCTCTAAACCCTGCGACATCCCGTCTTGCTAAGCCTCCAACTGTTGCAGGCCTGCCCGCGCACACGTCCGCCATGGCTGGGACTGCTTGCAGCTACCAGTTTGGAGATGTCAGTGCAGATAGCCGGCCTTGGCCCTGCGCACAAAACCTCACACAAGCTAGGCAAGACGTGACTTCCAATCCTGCCCTTGCTTCCGTACCCTACACCAGCAGAGCAATACAGCCTGACGACGGCAACTCGTGAGCGGTGCCATACGACTTCCGGCTTAAAACGTGAAGCCCACGCCTGATCTCCGCGAAGCATCTCGTTGCCCGCAGAATGTGACTTCCGCTGTTGATTCCGTAGGCTTCTGTGCCTGTGTCTCTCCTCTGGCAACTTAGAACGACATGCAGGAGCACACTTTTCATGCATCTTTGCGGCCACTGCGCATTCACAGCAGCCGGTCAAGTTCTGTGAAACGCGCATCCATCGACTTTGCACACGTGAGCCATGCTGCAGCACCGACAGCTGCAGAAGAAAACCCTACATGCCCAACCCTGAACCCCAACTCCTGACATCCCAACTCCTCAGCCCAAACCCCCCACAATCCGAATCCTCTTGCAAAGGGACCTAGCTGGTCTAGCTGGAAGCCTCTTCAGCAGGAGCTGCGATGCCCTGCACAGGCAGCACAAAGCTGTCGGGTTCGAGGGTTTTGCACCAAGACGTCAGAAACACTGCAAAGGCGCGAGTCTGAAAATTAGGGACACACTTTCGGGGGGTTTAAGGGAGGGACAAGTTTCTCTCTGGGAGACAAACAGAATAAATCTTGGGATGTTCCCCCTTAATGGGATTAGAGTACCCCCTATCAGGATCCCTCTTGAGGAATGTTAGTGGAACATCCCAAAAGAAAAAATAGCCCAAAAATCGAACCCTGGCCTGGTCCGCCTGCGTACCGTCTCCTTCTTCCAGGGCACGTTCCATCTCCTTGGCGTTCAAGCGTGGCGAAAATAACTGACCCCTAAAATTGACCCCGAAATAGTAAGGGTTCCCTTATACTAAGGAACCCAATAAGGTACCCCCCGACTTTCGGAAACCACCAGAAAAAGGCTATTCCGAACATAATCCTGATCTTGCGGTGGCCCACCGCGTTTGTAGGGGAACTCCACGTCCTGCTGCCAGGATGCACGAATTTGCTCCAGCTTTGTCTGGCGCTGCTGCAGGGCCTTGAGGGCATGTGCGCTCAGCGGCTGCCCACGTGCTGAGAGGCAAACTTGTAGAGTCGCTCATCACAGGAACCCCCTAAGCCCTAAACCTTAAACCCTAAACCCCAAACCCTAAACACTTAGGGTTTAAGGACTCTCGGGAGACGGGTCAGCGATTATTGGGGCCATGATTGGGAGATTGGAGAGGGGTCTTCTGATGCCACTCGTGTTCTTTGTTTATCTGAAATCAGCGAAGGACTTCTTCCGGTAACTCCACTCTTTGGCAAAAGTAAGGACTTGCCTTAAAGGATGGCGTGTACGGTGGCTTCTCGTGTGGGTGTGCATCCGACAAGATTAGGCAACTCACCGGGCGCGGAACCTCCTCTTACTTCTCCAGCGGACAAAGGTAAAACTTGCCTAGTCCTGTAAATGAAGAAACCCAGCGAAATCATAAGGTCACTTAAGTTCGGCTACTAGGGAAGTAGGTTTTCGCGCCAGTGACTTGATGTGCCTGATGTTGATACACGTGCACGGGAGGAGGAGAAACACGCATCTTCCGTATATCCCGGCAGCCCCAATACTTTAAGCAGCAACGGACAGGTGAAGTCAAGTTGCATGAGCCCGAAGCGCAATGCCCTGGATCAAAGGCACACATACCAATTCCAAGAGCACTGCAGTAGATCAATTTTCACTTTAAGATAAGACCAGATAATCCTACAGCCTAGATCCTAATGTCCCGAATCCCTGAACGCTCTCACAAGCCGGTAAACCTCAGAAAAATTTTATTAAAAAAAAAAAAAAAAAAAAAAAAAAAAAAAAAAAAAAAAAAAAAAAAAAAAAAAACTGCAAGAAAAAGCTCCGAACCCCTGGCTTCCAGAGTCTCGGTGCCTCCACCTTCGCACGCATGGCTTCCGCCCAGGCTTCTGCACAGGCCTCGCAGCTGGGTCGTGGGCTTGCATGGACTGGAGGGTTGAAAACGGGGTTGAAGGGCTTAGGGGGTTGAAGGGCTTAGGGGGTTTAGGGTTTAGGGTTTAGGGTTTAGGGTTTAGGGTTTAGGGTTTAGGGTTTAGGGTTTAGGGTTTAGGGTTTAGGGTTTAGGGTTTAGGGTTTAGGGTTCAAAAGCAAGACCATGATCCGACGCTTGAAGAGCTGCAATGGGTTCAGTATAGGTCAGTATACCCAGGTATGCGAGGGCACCCTGAGAAAGGGTCCCGTCCAAACGCAAGCCCCCAATAACCCTACAGCCCCAAAGCCCGAAACCACCCAGCCCCTCCAAACCTTCCACACGCCCCAAAGCCAAAAACCCTGAAGCCCAACACCAACAAAACCCTGAACCCTAAACCTTACTAAACCCTAAACCCTAAACCGCAAACCTTACTAAACCCTTCTGCACTCAAAACCCTTCACCCTAAACACTAAACCTACCCAAAATCCTTCCCTTGCCGAACGGGGCCTCAGAGCAGAGGCGCTTGCAACCGCCTCCCGCTTCCGAGGGGCACTCTCTTTCCACCGCGTACCTGCCATGCAGCTTCTTACATTGGGAGGGTTTAGGGTTTAGGGTCTAGGGTTTAGGGCTTAGGGCTTAGGGCTTAGGGTTTAGGGTTTAGGGTTTAGGATTTAGTGGGTAGGGACGGGGGGGGGGTGGTCCGAAAATTTGGGGATTAGGGTTTAGGGTTTAGGGCCCCTTATTATCGTAAACTCCACATACATCACATGTCTTAGGGGCTTCGGATTTAGGCATTTAGGATCTCAGGGGTTGAGGGCCTTTAGGGTTGGGGTTTGGGGTCTAGGGATTTGGGGGGGGCTCTGAGGTTTAGAAACCGTATACTGACGGAGCTGGGGCTTCAAAAACCGTGCGGCGCAGCAGTCGGGTTCAGGGTCGAGGCTGTATAGTGTTCAGGGCTCGGTACGGCGTATTGGGTCTTCAAAACTCAACCCTAAACCCTAAACAGCAAACCCCTCTGCTGGTTTCTTTTCTTTGCAGGAGTTGATTCCATAAGCCATGATACCATGAGTGGAAAATTTGGGCTCCAGGGTCCAACGCCGCTCCATGGCTCAGGGGGGATGTGTAGCATTAAGGTCTAGGGTTTAGGAATGTTTAGGAGCTTTCGGTCCAAACGTGGTGGGGCGGCCGCGCGTAGAACTGCTTGAAGCACCTGGGAAGGTGCCCCAAACCCTGCGAAACTGTAAGCTCCAAAGCCCCCCCCAAACCCAAAACCCAGCCCCCGATAGAATGAACCCCTTTCTACCCCTATTGAAGTTCGGAACCCTAAAACTCTTAAAGGCTTAGCGGCTTGGACCTTTGAGGGCTTCCTTTGGAGGGCTTCAGTTGCTTCTTGAGTGGGGTCGAGGGCTCTTCTTGTACTTTGGGACCCAAGACTTTGGTTTCGTGCTCTACTTCCGGGCTTGGGCTTGAGGATTCACTTCGGGTTTCTAGGGTTTGCAGGCTTGCTTTGGGTTCAGATCTTAGGGCTACAGGGTGCACTTAGGCTCTACAAGTAGGGCCATGTAGGGTTAAGTTTGGGCTTAGGGTGTTGCTGCAGAGTTTGGGCACCATACAAACCCTTTCGAAAGCAGCTCTCCTGAAAAGCCCAACACTTTCCGAGAGCGGGGCTGATAGCAACACAGCTTGTCCTCGCTCGGCGAAGGACTGCCTTGCCTGGCAGAACGAGACCCCTCTAGGCTGAAACCTCTTATCTAGAGCCTAGCAGTGAACGCCCATAATTCGACCCGTTGCAGCCCTAAACCTTACCAGACAAAAGCAGGAACACAGCGAGGAGCACGTCTCCGTCGAGGTGGACTCTGCGGGCGGCTTCAGCGGAGTGCTGGCACCTCATGTACACTGTAAGCAGTAACAGCTGTATAGTTTGATTCAGCATGGCCCGCCCCCCTCACCCCCCTTGGTCTGGCCCACGGCAGTGATGAACCGGCCAAGCTACGCGAGCACAGAGGGAACTGTTCATTAAATGCCGAGGGCTTCCAGCATCTGACCCAGTGAAAACTCGTAGACGTTCAACGTCATCGCCCAGTCTGCTTGCGCAGAAAACTCAGAAAGTATGTTTTTGAAGAGAAAAATACGCCCTTTCCCCCCCACCCCAGCGCGTGTGTTCAATTGTATCAAACCACGCCATCAACAACAACACCGCGTAAAACGACTACGACTAAAAGTTTGTCAGAGCTAGTCGCTGCACGGTGGCCATGGGATGCTGGCTTTGCTTCTGTCCGTGAGGGTGCTTATGGAAAATTGTCGCGAGCATGCACGCGCGTAGAGACAGTTTTGGAGAAACGGCCTGCAGACTCGGGCGATAGGGTGGCAAAACTGGAACTGACAGGCACAGCCCTTAACTTCACAAACCTCCGCATTGTACAGGAGGGTGAGGGGAATTGCCGGACTCTCTGGATTCATGATTCCATCTCACCGTACCCACACCTTCGGTGCGCAGGCTGCCGCGCCAACATCGTGGAGTGGCGGGGTCCCGCGGGCAGATGCTCAACCCAAACCCTGTAGATGCTCAACCCTGGACCCGAAACCCTGAAACCTAACCTTAAACTCTATAGGAAAAAATCAACCCTGAACCCGAAACTCTGAAACCTAACCCTAGACTCGATTTGCCAAAAAAGAAGAAGACAAAAAAAAAAAAAGGGCCTTTCAATCCGTTCTCTCTGGGAGGCTGGCGCTCCAAGTTCACCTCACTGCCGCCCAGGCTGGACCAAAAGGAGCCGACCGAGGCCTGGGCGTCATCCCCAGTCTACACATGATGGTTCGGGAACGAGGGCTCTAGGATCTTAAAGGTTTGGTGACTGTGCTTGAACCCTAAACCCTAAACCCTAAATCCTAAATCCTAAACCCTAAACCCTAAACCCTCTAAACCCTTTAAGAGCTTCTTAGAGTCAATGTGAGGATTTTGGGGGGGATTTCGGACCTCGGGTTCTTGGGTGTTAGCCCCAGCCTTGGGTGCTGCGCTCGGCTCCGCCTTGGCGCCTCATCACAGGACATGCGGCCCTACTTAGGGTTTAGGGTTTAGGGTTTAAGGTTTAAGGTTTGGGGTTTGGGGTTTGGGGTTTGGGGCTTGGGGTTTGGGGTTTGGGGTGTGGGGTTTAGGGTTTAGGGTTTTGGGTTTTGGGGAGTTTAGGGGTGTAGAGCTTTGGGAGTTTAGGGGTTTAAGCGTTTGGAGGTTTAGGGGTTTGGGTCTTGGTTTTCTGGGCTGGTCTGAGAGGAACCGATCGTCATGCTTTGCCTCACAGCACTATGCAGCGTACAACCTTGTATCATGCTACCGGGCTGCCAGGCTACCAGATCCGTCGTCACTGCTATGATTGCTGCTCGTATCCTTGCTACTACTCTCTTGTGGAAACCCTACCATCGCCCAACGTGACCAGTACGATTGTCAATGTTGACACTGCAATACAGTTTGCCATTGCCGCGAAGCGATGTGACCCCTCACCGCGATTGCTGCAAGTAGAAGGGTGATTGTTCGCACGACCAGTTGGAGTTTTGGGGTGTCATTGGTCGCCTCTGAAGGCCAGGCAGAACGGCGGGCCCTTTGAGTAGCAGCATAGGCGGTGTCGAAAGTGCCAAGCTGATATCATCATCATAGAAGCCGCATGAAGTACCAGATCAGACAGTCAACCGCGCTGGTAAGAGAAGAAAAGTCCGCTTGTCTTTATCGCAACTTCACCGTGGCAGAGGCCTTTTGCTTGGCGCTGGAAGAACGAGACTTCTCTTGAGCGCACCAGCTAGCTTCTCTAGGACACGTCGGGAACCCTCTGGCCCTGAAGTAGGATTCCTCACAAGATGCGCAGCCTCCTCGCCACGCTTGCAAGGCTTCCTGGAAGCTAGCAGCAGACTCCTGGTGGATACAGGGCTTCGGCGGCTTCGGAGATCTGAGAAAGTTGGGAGAGTTCGGAGGGTAGAATTGGGGCTGGGATGTTGCAGGAAGTGAATTTCTGGGATGTGCAAACTTTGCTGCAATTTCCACAGGGCAGCTTCTGAGCTTCCCTCGTAGACCTTACGGTAGCCACTGGCGCTTGAACTGAGCGCCTCCTCATCGAAAGCTCCTTCCAGCAGATTGGCGGAGCCTGTCGTCAATGCGAGGAGTGGAGCAGCTTTCTTACTCAGCTGGGCAGTGCTGCCTGCTTCTACCTTTTCGGCCTTTTCGCTCGGGATTGGCACCGGTGCCTCAGCTGAGCACAGGCCCAAAGGCCCAAAAGGGGCCCACAGATCAGGCGGCTTCCAGTTGGGGAGGGCAGGCTGCGAAGGGGCCCGTAGAACGACCTTATGGATTCTGGCCTCCGCAACCTCGCCAAAGGTGACCCGTCGACCCGTCGTGCTCGACGGCTTGCCTGGCGATAGAGAGAAGGCGAGGCGCATGCTTCCACGCCGGGCAACCCTGCAAAACACTGCAAACAGGAGGTGTGCCTTCTGGGAGGCTTCTGGCAGGAGCCATTTCAGACAGGCGTTTCCTGTAGGTGCAAGGAGGAGACGCAAAAGGCTGACCTGTCTGTCTTGCGCGTAAAGAGAACGAGGCAGGCAAAGGGCGGCAAAGGGCTCCTCAGCTTAAGGATATGTCCAGCAGCCATGCCAATCTGCTGCATGTGCTGCTCCTCGACAGTGCAGCCATGGAGTTAGAACGGGTTCCATGCGGCAAGGATCAGCTACCTGTGGGCTCCTGCATCTCCTTTACCACCTCCATGCAATCGAAGCCATGCTCCTGACTGAAAGCCACAAGGAGGACGTATGCCAAGTCACATGCACGCGTATGCCCTCAGAGGCCAAGGACCAAGAGAGCATTTTCGGTTCCTTACACGTGCGCTTGCTGTTCCGCCTGCATGCTACAAGCAAGAGCTTTCTTTTGGAAGAGTGAAGATGCTCGGGCGATAACACTTGTGTCCGATGCGCTGCCTTGCCACTCTTTCAGCCAATGCATGGAAGGGGGCTCAAAGTTCAAGGCAGGGAGCATCTGACGCAAGCCGCCGTGTGCAATTGCCGAGGTGCAAACCTCTTCTTGAAAGTGACTCTGGACACATGCAGTCGAATTGCCCCAGCGCGTGCCCAACTGGTCACGGCAGGCTCTCAAGTTCAAACCTCATGGCTAAGCAAGGCAGAATGGCAAACAGACCTCCCCCAACGCAAAGGCCGTGCGGGCGGTCATCTGTCGAAATCCTCAAGTACTTTGGGTGCCGGTCTGTTCGCGCGATCAGCTTTACACGTTGACATGGCGCTCTGGCCCTGTACACAGAAAGATGATGAAAATAAGTACAGTACATGGCTGTTTCGGTTTTCAACGAAACAGGCCCATTCATCAAACAGAAAAGGACCAAGAAAACGGAAGCATCTGCTTTAAGTCCTTTATCAAGGCTCTGGACGCCGAAGCCTTTTCTACAAGGGAGCCGTATGAAGCGGCAGCCTGTACAGCTTCAGCTAGACTGCTAAACGCTTTCAACGCACTCATAGCGACTCGCATGAAACCGCTGAGGAATCCTCATCCTCGCTGCACGCTGTCGTATTCCAATCGGAATCATAGAGTTGCTCCGTTTGCTTGCAACGAACCTCATTCAAGAGGCCGTCCAGCACAGAGAGCGATCGCGACACTCTCTGCACCATGCGCCACTGAATGGACGGGGACGGCTCAGGTGTTGGAGCTTCACTCCAGTCCGTTTCGTAGAGCTCCTCTGTCTGCTTGCAGCGCACATCCTCAAGCACCGACTCGAGCGCACGCATGGACCGCACCATGGCGCGCAGCTTCCTCCAGCGGGACGTTCTGGGCAGCCTGTACCGAGGTTCCCGGCCTCGCGCCCGCACTCCTCGATGTTCTCGCATGCTTCTGTACATTCCCGAGATGGCATCCCATAAGTCCCCGCTGCAGCTTTCACAGGGAGCGCACGCTTGCCCCATTGCTCTTTAGAGCAGTACCACTAGAGCTGAGCACTCCACGGCTGCGCGACCCCTACATCTGGCTTCAGGATTTCCCTGCTTGCCCAAGTACTCTTCTCTTCGTCACAAGCACAAGAACAAGAAGAACAGATTGCAGAGCAGCTGTCCATGAAGAGACTAACGTACCTGTCGAGCTTCAGAGAGCATAGGAAGGCCTGGCTCACTTTGGCTCACTGCGAGTGCTGCTCACGAAACACCGAGGTTCCCTAAAAACGCTCTAAACTCTCAGCAAAGTGCGGGCCTCGACCTCCAGTGCCTCTCGGTTCTGCTGCAGCATGGCTGCCTTCAACGGCTCTCAGGCAAAGGGAGCAGTTGAAACCCAGTGCGCGGTGCTCAGCTGCCTGAAGATTCGCAGCTGCCTTGCCACCCACCTTGGTGTAGGCAAAGAGCACGCAAGGGGACCCCAAACCACTTTCAAAACCCTCAAGGTGCCTTCGGAACTTCCCACGTAGGCCCCTACATTCACGCCAAAGAGCTCCCTTGGTTCGGCTTATTAGGACCTTCGAGTATAACAGGTATATACCTCCCCAAATGGCCCAGAAGTGGGAGGCACCAGTTAAGATCTCTGAGGGGGGCGCGTTGGGAGGGCTCGGACTCACCAGCTTGCTGGCCGGGGCAAGTGGCACCTTCGCACTTACTGAAACCCCAGTCTCTCAACAGCTGTGGCGACCTCATAAACACCTTGAAGCCTCAACATGAAAAAAACAACTATGTGTATACATTTTTAGATTACCTTAGCCTTAAACCCCGGACCCTAACATAACTTTCAGCCTCTACTGCAGATGCAGAAACCTGGGAATCAACATGGCGACATCAACTACCCCGAATTTCGTAAAAACCCCGAATGCTCAGAAACCTCTTAGCTCTCAATGGCGGCCTCCTCCTGCAATTGCGGCGCGCTGTCGTTGCCAGCTGAGTCTGTCGACCTGGCATGCGGATTACCTGGTGGACTTAGTCCTAAAATTGGGGTCATCTCTACGAGTCTAGTCTCTACCCAGAAAACACCCGAATCCCGAGGTAAATGGACCATCAAGCCCCTTTAGGGTTCATTTAGCCCTAGCATTCGATTCAAGAAAGGTGCCACCTCACAGACTTCACAACACTCTACACCCAGACGCAGTCAACTGCGCAGACAATGCAAGCTCGATCACCTCAAATTCTCAACTTGTCTCATTAAACTTCATTCCCGAAACTGCGCACTTCAAGTACTTCAATTCCGGAGCACACCTCCAAAACCTGGCCGGAAATGGCGGAAATGGAGCCCCCAAGGTGCTTCTGCAGATGAATCGTGGCAGGGCCACTTGGGGCTGGCTTGCTTCTTGGGCCGCGCCTTCACCGAGTTCGACCGGGTTCGGGTTTGGGGGTTTTGGGGGCGTTCGCGGATGTTCCAGGCGTTTAGGGGTTTAAGAACGGAGGCTCAGACATTTTTCAAAAAAAATTCAGGGATGACCACAGTGTCGGAGCTTTTGGGGGGGTTTGCTCCAAAGGATGAATCGTCCTTCTGAAGCCCATCATGCCCGCCTCGAGAACACTCTTAATGTAGCCCTTCGTCAGGGGTTTGCTGCCCCCTCCGCTGCGCCACCTCCAGCCCGAACTCAGCAAAATAGTAAAACAAAGCTGTGCGGAGAGCAGTTGCGCAGCCGAACCTGCCAGCGTCGGCCCCTCAGCAGGTCACGTTTGGGCTGGGAGAGAATAAGCTCACAAAAGGGCTGAGCACAGTGCCCTTCCCGGACTGCTCAGCCACCTGCAGACCGTACAGCTGATGTGAAGGTATGGAAATTACTGCGCCAGTCCGAGTCCTGAGGCAGGAACATCCATTGTGCGCCTCAGCAGCTCCAGCTTTGCCTCCATCTGCTTCGCCTGTCAGGATTCACAAAGATGGACAGGTTGCTTGCGTAAGCATTCGGTGGGCTGCAAAGGATTCATGACCCAAAACACGATCAGGATACGCCTGCTGACTTCTCAAAAGCCCAACAAAAGCGACTGTGACTGACACTTGCCGGGTGTTGCTGCCTCCTCCTCCATCCTTCTCGTGTCATCTCTGCGAATCGCGATTCCTTTAGCCTCAAAATTGTACGACATCAAACGCACCTCAGAACGACCTCGATACATCAAAAGCACGCAACACTTCTTAGGGGATGCTCAGGGCAAGACTTTTGCCATCAGGACAGTTGCTGGCTGTGGACCATGAACGTCAAATAACCCAAAGCAGCCAAGCCTACCCGCATCTTAGTGATTGATGGGCTGTCGGACTCGAAACTATCATGCTCAAATGCTGGACTCACTATTGGGCAACAGACGAGGGACTAGAGGTCCAATACATCTAGTCTGCAAGTGTGCAGACGCATCGGCACGTGAGTGGACCAAGTTCTTACGAGTACCTACTAGTCGCTTGAAGACGTAGCATGGAGCATCTGTTGTGACCCTTGGCGTGAAACGAGGAAAACCTTGAGGCGTGCATAGAAGCGGAGCTGCTGACGGAGGCTGAGCACAGAATGGCTGAAGAGCTGCTGGAAAGAGCTGCTGAAGAGAAGCGTTGAAAGGTCGATGGCTTTTTGGTCTCCGATCGTCTCCAGCCTTCACGCTGCAGCAGCTTCCCACGAAAGAAGATCTCCATAATGAGGCGCAACAGGATCCATTGATACCTTAATCAGAGCTTGAACATGCCGGAGCTCTTCGCCAGCTTCAGCTGCTCTAGGCTACAGATGACGCCAGCCCATCAGTGCAATCAGCTAACCCCTCCCCTCAGAAGTTAGTGCCCCGACTCGCAACACCAGAAACCATAAACCGGAGAGCCTTCAAAAATCACAGACAGGTACGCTGTGGGGGCCCCCACTTTTCCACACATTGAATTCTAAGGCTTTCTCATGTTTAGTGCTGTTCTCCAGAATTAGGGCGTGGGTTTGAGAGCATTCCAAGCCGTAAACAGACCTAAGAACCATGACCCTAAGTCCTGAAACTTATGCAAATTGGGGTGTAGTCCCCAAACCGAAGAAACTATGCTCTGGTCTGCACCAAAAAGGCGAAAACAAAGCCTTCCGGGCGGATTGTCATGTTCTCGGCCCAAGGCCCAAGGGGGCCAGTGTCAACTCTCGATTGTGGACCGGAAACGAGGAACACAGACTACGTTCATACCGCTGGACTTACTCATAGCAGCCATTAGCAGCCCAAGCTATCCCAAGCTTGTCGGGCAAACCTGCACTTTTTCCAACCTTCCACAGCAAGCCGACTAGATCTCGTCGTCGTCGACCCCGAACTTGGGGCGCACGAAGGGGATCATGGGCACGGGCGCCGGTGGTGCTGGTGGTGCCGGGGGTGGAGTATGTGGCGTCACGGGCGGGGGGAGTCCTGATAACCCAGTCATCCCAGGCAGCGCGGACATCACTCCGGGCGGTACAGGCGCCGGCGGTCCCGGAAAGGGCACCGATGCTGGTCCCGTCGCGACTGCTGGGCCTTGCAAGCCTTGGAGTTGGACCGGCGGTGCCACACCGAAGCTCATGGGCGGCCGCACGAGCCCCGGACTGGACAGAGGTGCTCCAATATCCTGGATGCCTGTGCTGGGACACAGGTGCATGGCCTCAGAGCTCCGAACTGCTTCGACCGCGGCGTTGGGGAACTCTTGTGGGCCGAAAAGCACAAAGAAGTCCATGGCCCTGAGGACGTCTGCGCCTGCAAACGGAGAATGGAGCACCCGCGCCATCAGCTCTGTGCCGGCCAGCTGGAAGAGCACCTCCACACGGCCAAAGCCATAACGACCAGGTCCCGGAGGGATCCGCGCGAGGGGCGGGAAGCCAGGTAGTCGACGCAGCACCTCCATCAGCGAAGACTCGATGAGGTCCATGGGTCCACTGGAGAGAGGTGCCTGCAGCGGTGGCGACCGCACGATGTCGTTGTAGATGTGGAAATCCTGAGTTCTGCAACATACTCAGAAAATGTCTGCAGGTAAGGTGGCTCTTGTAAGTTACCCTACAGCTTTCGAGAGACGACCTGCTGAAGCCTGAGATCTCCACCTGTGCCTTCATGCATCCCTAGATGGCTTTAGCCTCTACACGGATCTACGCGGCATGCGGCGCACCAAGGTTGCCAAGTGCGGCTGAACGGCGTCACCACCCAGCGCAGGCACTCGTTCCAGCACTTGAGTGATGGTAGCTCGGGACAGCACATGCGGTGGGAACGTGTCCTCGTGGAACAGCTTGACCAAGTCCTCAGTTCTGAGGAAACTTCCTTGATGGCATGTGGGGCCATGATGTTGTGATTCGAGAAACGTGCGGGCCTGCCAAAACCACAAGCCACAGCGATACACTCCCACGTGCTTTTCAAGCTGCACTCTCCAACCTCGGATCGCAGAGGAAAATCCAGCGCCCAGGCCTGGTCGGCAAATGTCACAAAAAAACCCAAGCAATTCCCAAGCCCACGGCAAGTGAACAGAAATCCGAAACGAACAGAACAAGCCGAGTGTGTTTTTATGGCTGTACGACTGCAGTGCGTGCACCTGAAGATCTGCCGCAAGCGCGTCAGCACAGCCGGCAGGCTGGTGCCAAGCATGGTGATGGCACGCTGGAGGAAGTCCTCTCCACAGAAGATGATAAGAAGAAGAATAATAATAATAATAATCACTAATAATAATATTCATAATCATAATAATAATCGTCATAATAATCATAATAATAATAATAATCGTAATAATAACACCTCAGTCTCACCAACTTGCCCGCCCGGAAAGGTACTGCAACCAGCCCCCGATCTTGGAACTCTTCAGGCACCTACTTGTAGCACTACAGACTCCTGTTACACTAGACCTAAACCCTAAACCCTAATCCCTAAACCCTAATCCCTAAACCCTAATCCCTAAACCCTAAACCCATCTTCTACAGTAGACATGATGTCTTGCTGCACGATGACTTCGGCCCGGCGCCCTCCACCCCCCCAGAGACCACATCAGAGACCATTAGGGTTTCGGGTTTAGGGTTTAGGGCTTCGGGTTTAGGGTTTAGGATCACCACCCCTTAAGAAAAACACCGGAGGGGGGGGGGGGGGACCCCCGCAGTTTTTTTTCGATTGGGGTCCTGGGGGGTTCGGTGTTTTTCCTTGGCTTTCGCACCCGCACCTCGCCCAAAACCGAAGCCGAAAAACATTAAAAAAAACCACGTTTGGGATTTCAAACCCATCAAAAAACTGGGCTTAAGGTGTATGTCGGGGTTCCGCTTAAACTCATTTTTGCAAGTATTCTGGACTCCGCTATCCTGCCCTGTGCCAAAAACCGACTGCCCAGGCAACGAGATACTGGATCTCTCACTTCAAACTTTTCAAAAACAGGGCTTGATGTATATCTCGGGGCTCCACTTAACGTGTTCTTTGCGCTAGTGGATACTGATCTTACACTGCCCAGAAAACGGGTGCAAAGGAGACGAGGCACTGGATCTTCACTTGATTATCAGGATGCATCTGAAATGTAGTTCTCTTCCACTCCCAAAACTGGCCGCCAGGATACGAAACAGACAAACAAGTGAAGCCCTCACCTCGCAGACTTCCAAAAAAAATCCCTGGCCAAGGTCATTTCACGACGTAGCAATCGCAAGACTCGGGACAATCCAACAATCAACGCACGCACCCACGCCTTCTAGCTTCCAAACCCCAAACAAAGGCTTAAACCGCCAAAATCCTGCGAGTACCCCGTTTGCCCAGAGAGAGTTTCTTTCTGCCTCTGTGGAACGCTGGCAGACCCAGCTCCGGGCTTCAGGTCCAAACTTGGGCTTAGACTCAAGCACCAAGCACCCAGCAAAACTTAAACTTTCCTATTGTAGGGGACTTATAGACCCAAAAAGTTTAAAGTTAACCCTACTGGGCTGCTCAGCCAAAAGTGCGGCCTTGTGGGTGCCTCCCTTGGGATCTGGACCAAAGTTTAAGGCTTTTAGGAGGTTTTCGGGTTCAGGATTACTGTTTGTTTAAGGTTTCGCTTGCCCTAGTTTAAACTGAAGGGTTTTGGCTTTTGAGCTGAGGATGCGAGTATGTGTGCGTGTGTTGTCCCTTTTGTTCTTGATCTTTATCTCTAGAAGGAGAGAGAAAAAAGGAAACCAAGTAAGGAACGAAGAGGGGCACTAAATGGCCCTAAAAGCCTAAATTTCTCGTTCTATCTCGGGCTGCCGTACGTGCTCAAACCCACGTGATTTGGCTTTTGTATCCGACATGCAAATTATATTTGCCCACTCTTTCTGAAAAGGAGCCAGGTTTGCTTCCTTTGCTCTTTCTGTTTGCTTGTTGTTTTCCTGGGTTTGGGGTTTAGGGCTTGGGTCCACTAGGGTTTAGGGGGTTTGGTGTTTAGCGCTTCTCTTGGTTCCCTACTTTGATTTCCTTCTTTCTCTCTTTCCAGAGACAAAGGTCAAAACAAAAGGGACAACACACACACACACACACACATACACACTCGCGTCCTAAGCCCTAAGGCCTAAACACTTCAGTTGAAACCAGGGCATGCCTTAAACCCTGACACCTATAATTCATGGTGGTGCCTCTGCCGTGCGGTGTACGGTGTACAGAGAAATGTGTATCCACCCACTGCGCTACCCGGGTCCCCGTGCGATTCGGGTTGTCGAACCCTAAGCCCGAAAGCTTAAATGAGCAGTCAACCCTAAACCCTATACTTAAAAACCTCCAAAAGACTTTTGTCCAGACCCCAAGGGGGCCCAGCATGCCCCCGTTTTGGCTGAGCAGTCCAGTAGGGTAAACTTTAATAAACCTTTTGGGTCTACAAGTCCCTACAAAAGGCAAGATTAAGTTTTGCCGGGCGCTCGGTACCTGAGTTGGAGCCCAAGTTTGGACCTAAAAAATGTAGATCCACTCCCTGAAAAGAGGCTAGATTCGTTTTTGGTTTTAAGGCAGAGGTTTTACGGTTTCAGATTTGGGTTTGGGGCGTTTGGCAGGTTGAGGGTTTAGGGTTACTGTCTAAGGTTTTCGTTTTGGGTTTAGGGTTAAGGTCTGGGATTTGTCAGGTTTAGGTTTAGGGCTTAGGGCTTGGTTATTGTAATGTTTCTATAAGTTTTCCTCTTCTTCCAGAGGCCAAGACCTTGCAAACCATCAAAATGGCAAAATTTTGTAATTTTTGACTATTTGGGCCTTCACAAACCTTGAATTAAGGCCAAAACACAGGGATGGTCCCTAGTTTTGCCTTGGAAACCACCAAAATGGCAAATTTTTGTGATTTTTGACCATTTTGGGCTTTCACAAACCTTGAATTAATTCAGGCCAAAGCACAGGGATTTTCCCTCATTTGGCGTCCTTGGAAATGCCGAAATGGCCAATTTCAGGGATTTTGACCATTTTGAGTCTCACAAACCCTGAATTAAGGCAAAAACATAAGGTTTTTCGATAGTTTGGCGGCCTTGGAAACCACCAAAATGCCAAATGTTTGTGATTTTTGACCATTTTGGGCTTTCACAAACCCTGAAGTAAAGTAAGTCCCTAGATTGGTGACAGGTGTACCGAATGTTGTTCTCTGTTTCCCAACCGCTGTACGGGATTGTTTTACATACCTCGGCGATCCCTGGAGTGCCTTCCCGAGAATTTTAGTGGAATGCCCGCCGAATCCTGCAGAGTATGCCTGGAGCGCCCTCACCCAAAAAAGCAAGCAGAGCAGAGAATCCCGCCCGCACAGAGAGTCCTACAACAAATCCCACAAGAGTGACTACCCCAAAAAATCTTGCAGAGAATTCCGCAGGGTACCCTGGAGTCAATCCTGCCGAGAAACCCACAAGCAACCCTGGAGCGCTCACGAGAGAAGCGAATTTTTGCGGAGTACCCGCCCGCACAGAATCCAGCTTCTCCGGGGGGCACTTAGGGGATTCTCCAGGTCTCTGTGGGTAGGCACTCCACGTAAGGGGTCAAGCTTTAAGAAGAAACTCACGGGATCTCGGAAAGCCTTATAGAAAAACACCGCGGGGGTGGTAACCCGGGTTCGCCCCCCCACGGTGTTTTTTCTGTGTCTCCTGGCCGTGGAATGGGCCCAACCCTCCGAAAAACACCGCGGCCTCCAGCAGAAAGGTCACCACCCCCGCGGTGTTTTAGGTTAAGGGGGTGGTGATGGGTTTAGGGTTTAAGGTTTAGGGTTTAGGGTTCACCTCGTTCAGCTGCTTGACCCGGTTCTGAATCCAGTCGTCCATCAGCTCGCCATAGCCCTCGACCTGGGCATGCAAGGAATGGCGTGCAAGGACCCCAGGAGGGTGGGGTCCGGATTTCGGGTCGAATCTTGATCCCGGCCCTTCATCCGCCCACCCATGGCAACCGGTACAAGCAAACGAGGCCATCAGGCCAGCGCATAGAAGAACGACCGACGCAGCTTTCCCGCAAGCTCGCTGAGTTCCGGCCTCAGAGCAATGTTGGCTCCCATTGGCTCATGACCCGCGAGAAAAAGGAAAGGGTACGAGTGCGCTAGGCTCGTTGGGCGCCAAGCTGGTCCCAATAATTGTTCTGGCTGCCCCTTTTGAGGCAAAGCCCGGCTTGCAGCAAGAAGGCCTGCCACCAGTGGTGGAGAGCTTTGCATGGGGACCTTGTCTTAGTTTCGCCGTGCCTCTTTGGCACGCTTTGCCCCGCCAGTCAGGTGGCGAAACGTCGCTTGAAAGGGCGGGCTCTGCAGTGCCTGCACCACCATATTATGCAAGCACGTGGAGTGATGCACAGGGCCGGCGTGCCTGGAACAGCGTCTTGGCCTGTTCCAAGAGGGTCGCCTGCTCACTTGCAAGGGGGAGGTTTTGACATCATCCAACTGAACAGGGCATAAAGCATGCAATGAGGGTGTGTGAGTCGCATCGCGTAGCGCAACGAGTCCTTTTCTCCCTCTGCATAGCCAGTGAGTCGGGTCTCGGGTAGCTACCAGATTGTCTTGTTGAGCTTCGAAGCTCCATGATACAGGCATCTATGGCACTGTCAATCTTGGACTGTGGGTATGGTGAGCATGACGTTCCGAAACATCAATACTTCATCTAAGTTAACAGTTAACTACCTCACACAGCAGTTGGGCAGACAATGGCTTCTTGACCAAGACAAGACGGGAGTCGAAGCACAATCAGCAGAGAGACCGCAATGTGTCGCAAGAGGACTACAGCGGGCCATAACGGGTCACTAGCTGCTACTCCTCTGCTTTTGCCGTCTCCTTGGCATCTCAGTCATCTCTGCTACGTGACTTCCCCTCCTTCCTGCTCTCGTCTGCTTTGTCTGCTTTGTCCTTGCCTTCCTCCTTTCTGCCTCGGCTTCTTGAAGCCTTCTCACTTCGGCTCCTGCTCTTGGCCTTCTTCTTCCTGTCCCCGCTTCTGTCGCGGCTTCGGCTGGCGGACTTCCGCTTCTTGTCACTGCGGCCCCTGCTTCGGGACCGGTCTCTGCCTCGTCGACCCGAGTTGCTGCGACTCCGCCGCCTCCGCTCGCTTCTGCTTCGGGACCGCCTCTTATTGCGACTCCGGGATCTCCTCTCCTTCTCGCGGCTCCTGGGCGCCAGAAATGTGCACGAAAGAGGGCGCAGGTCCCTCTCACAAAACGCTTTTGCCCTTGGAAGCTGAGGAAGACTGCTACTCTGGACCCAGAAGTTGCACGACTCCTGAGAATTGGGGACAGCCATCTCTCACGCCCTCAGGGTTGAGGGCTGTGGGGGATGCTGAGGGATGCGTGTTCGAGAATTGTGCCATGCTGCGGGGAGGAGCGCGGTCTCTTTATGCTGGGAGAACCTCGCCTCTTCACCTGAGATGCACGCGACTGTTGCAGAAGCTGCAGCAATTGAACCACCACGTGTCGCTATGCATCTGCCCGCACTGCACAATGTCACACTGCCGTCACGCACTTCGGCGCTGTAAGCACGCCGCACTCGGCGACCTCCTCTTCCTCGCGCTTGGAGATCTTCTCCTTCGCCGCGTGCACTCAGCAGCGTGGGGTCATGCACGTTCGACTTTGAGTGCCACAGCAGGCTTCATCAGCTTCATCTGGAACAATGCACAGAAGCTCTCCGTGCCTGCACGCACTTAAAAGCCACAGAAGCCCTTCTCTCAACCCCTAAACCCCTACAACCACTAAGAAGGACTCTCACGCTGGTCTACCCGTCTCCTTCGCACACTGGGCGACTTCCGGCGGCCCCCACTGCGGCTGGGACTCTCCGAGAACTTGGGTGGGTCCACCAGCTCCTCGGCGGAGGATTCGTGGGGGGGGGACAAGGTGACAAGGCCTGAAAAAAAAAGAATCTCTGCCCCCTTGGCGCCCGGCCCAGTTCGCGGCGTAGGGCCTGCCTCTGTTTTCCTGCAGTTTCGGATTCGGGGGGGATGTCAATAGAACCCATCGAAAATCCAGCGGAACCTAGAGATCAGCTACATGTCGACAGGACAGTCAAGTCTCAGGCTAAGGAGGCATCCTTTGAAATTAGAAGCCTCTTGGAGTGTTTTTGCCCCCGCCTCGAAGTCGACGTCGAACTTCACCCGCACGCCGGGCGCGACGCCGTTGCGCCGGATGTAGTTCTTGAACCGCTCACCCTTGGCGTTGGCAACGTGGAGCTGGATATCATCGTTATGACGGCCCTCACGCTTCACAAAGCCATAGTCCGCAGTCTTCCAAGCAACCACCGTACCTCAGCACAAAGCACGCATCACAGCCCACTTGCAAAGGCATACATGCAGAAATACCTTCGTTCGGTGTGCCTCTGGTCCCTTAGCAAAGTGCATGCTTCTGCTGCTGAGACTCCCCGTTCGCGAGCTTTCCCATTTCGTGGTGGCATTTTGAACACCCCTGAAGCCTTGAGCCAAAGTGTTCATATGTGCGGTGCGCTTCCTGTAAGTCATGGTCTGAAAGCCTGACATTCCCAACGGCATGTCGGCTGCATGCTCACCGCAATGCAGCCACAGGCGATTTCGTGTACGAGCATCGCGACTCGAGGACCACCATGAGCAGCAATGGGGGGTACGGGAAGGAAGCCAAACTGCCGCAAACCAAGGCCCACCTGCTTCGCCTGATTGCGCCAGGCCACTGCAACCTGCTCCTTCAATCGAAAGAAACGAAAGAAACGGCCCATCCGGCAAAAAAATCTCTTCAACACATGCAGAGGAGCTGCGCAAAGGGGCTCAATAGACATGCCAATGGCCGGAGGCGGTCTACAGCTTGCAGCAATCGCGCTGTCCTCATCGAGCCATGCCGCTACTTCCTGACGTGAGCTGGACTCGGAACAAACTGATTAGACTACGCAGCTCTTACACCGGTGCCCAAAGGTTACAGAAGCTCGGGTCAACAAGTGTTTCTGAACATGGCTGTGCGACTTCACTTGGCTGGTTTTATCTGCGAACTCGCCGCGTGAATGATGCCAATGCTTCTTGCACGAGGCAAGAGCAAGACTTTGATAGCCTACGGCCCAAGGAAAAGACTTGAGGCAGCTTCGGCGCTTTGCTGTATGTTGCGAGTATTGCCTGGCCTGCTGCTGAACAAGAACTCGCTCAAACAGCGGTTCAGATAAAGAGGGCCGAAGAGGGTCCGGCTTGTCAAAAGCAAGCTTGAAAGCCGGACCGTCAAAATCCATATGTGTCTCTCTACATGTCTCTACACATCTGCACCTACACATTCTCGTTGGGCGTTGCTGCTTTCACTTCTGCGACCGGCTGTGCGTTTAGGTAGCTAATTGTGCGGTCCGTCACCAGCCAGGACATCAAGATCAGAAGCACGCAGAGACCGAAAGAGAGGCCGGGGCCCCACCCTCCCACGAGGTACGGAATCATGCCCGCCAGCGCAGGTCCCGGGCAAATGCCAACCATTCCCCATCCGAGGCCGAAGAACGTGGCGCCCAACACCAATGAGCCGTAGTCCCCGGATTTCTTCGGCCGTTCAAAGCTGCAGTCCTCGCCGCAAAGAGGTTTCCTTCCCTCCCTCTCTGCCATCAGGAAAGCAGGGAAGGAGACGCAAAGCCCCAGGCCCATCACAAAGGCCAGGCTCGGATCCCAAGTCCCCGCGAAGTCCAGGAAGTTTAAGACCTTTGCTTGACTTGTCATGCCGGAGACGCCAAGGCCCAAGCCGAAGATGATCCCGCAAGCCAGCGGCGAGACAAAGCTCCTGGTCTTGGAAGGCAAGCACGTTGCCCCCGCAGCAAGCACCAGGCTGGACAAGGCTGCTGCCAATGGGAACTCCCACTTTGGAGGCCACTGGAGCTCCGCTACTCCCCACGGACCGCTGGCATCCAGCTTGGCTACATGTCTGGTTAGGGCTACCGTCAGTGCTGCGATGCCCATAAATGTAGGTACTGCAATCCAGCTGCGAGGAGCCAAACGAGGAAGACCGCAGATGCCATGCCCGGAGGTGCAACCTCGACCCGCTCGAGTGCCGATCCCAACGAAGATGCCCCCAACGCAGTACCTCGCCAGCGGAATGTCCAAGGCCTGCGGGTACGAGAACTCTCGATTGAAGGCAAGGTTCACGAGGCCGCCGACGACCAGACCCACGAGAAAGAGAGCTTTCCAGAGCTGGCCGTCCTTCAGCGGCTCACATTTCCCCACACCGCGCAAGAAGGGTCCCACGATGCCACTGATCCCGGTGATCTTCCCATCGCCCACGTAAGCCAAAGCAGCCGACAGGCCGATCAGCAGGCCGCCCACGCCGGACTCAATCGGGGTGAAGGCCATGAAGAATCAACGAGGAGCCAAAGCTCAGGCCCGCAAGATCTCTGGTACAGGATGCGCTTGAGCATGAGCCGCAGAGCTTGGTAATGTGCTGGCTGCTGGCAACTCAGTGAATATACTTAGAAACTCTCGGAGAAAATCCATGAGAGATCCCTGAAGCGGCCTGCGTGGTGGAGTCCACCAACTTCACCACCTCGGCCTTGAGTTCTGTGAAGGTCTCCACAAGCTCCTTCTGCGCCCCGTCCGAGAACCTCTCAGACTCATTGGGTCATTGGGGTTGCAGACATCTGGGGGGGGGGGGGGGGAAGCGTGCTTGCTTGGAGCATGAAGCTCGGATCAACAAGCTGCTGCCAAGGCAGCAAGCCAGCTAGAACCCTTGCAAACTGCCTCTTGCTACCACGACATGCATCCTAAACTTAAACCGACGCCCTACAAACGCTCTAAACTGTCCCAGCAGGCACCGCGCCTGAATAGGTTCATCCGCACCTCGGCAAAGAACGCTGCGCGGGCCCGGGCGTCGATGGCCTCTGCATCAGTTTCTGGGGCTGTGGGAGCCGGCACCATGCCATCGCCAGGGCGCCATGAACCCTTAAACCTGTCATCTAAAACCCATGAACCCTCAAAGAACCTACAAGCCCTGCTAGTATGAACTTTGTAGACCCTACTTTTTCTTCAACCATCGACAACAAAAACTAAAACCCTTTTGACCCAACCTTCCCTCCAATTTGAGAATCGGAGGGGCAACCGAAATTCCAGGCCTTGAGTGCCGAGGAGGTTTGCTCCTCGGTAAATCGGTAGACCAGCTCCTGGCTCGCGGGCTTCGAGGTTTGACGGGGCTTCGGCTTGAGGGTTCATAGGACTTAGGCTTGAGGGCGTAGAGTACAGGGGGCTTCGGGTAGGCGACTTCGTGCTTTGAGAGCTTTCGCGTCGAGACTAGGGATATCCCCGCATCGGCCCGTGTCCAGCGTTCTTTGCGCACCTCCCTGAAGTAGACCCTGACCCCCAAGCCCGCAGCCCTTAATCAACCCTAAAGCCCCTCCCCGAAAAGTCCGGCAAAGCCCGAAAGAAGGCAAAACGGCTGACCTCGGCGGTGAGCCCCGGCTTCTGGGGCAGCGCAGCCAGACGCCTGGCTGAAGAGGGAAGGGGTGGAGTGAATACAAGTACTACTGTAGTGAAATACATCTTTTGTGGCATGTATATGTAGGGATCATCTAAGAACTGACTACTCCCAGAGCTTTTCTCCACATCCTGAAAGAGAGTAAACTTGCTTCTTCTGTGCTTGTTTGGGCGCTCCTTCGCAGCTCTGACAGCACGGGTGGCTCGGACGTGATGGAGGCGCCGCCCGGGAAGGCAGCCTCGCAGCCCCCGAAAGCACACACGGCCTACCCGACACAGCATGCCCGTGCCAAAGAACGAGGCTGAAGCAACTACCACAAGCAAGAAATCTGGGCGCTTTGTGTGTTTTAAAGGTATGTCTGGCACACGGCTAACGTGTCCACGAGTAGCCAAAATCTTGGGGTCCCGGCTCGGCCGGCACCTTGCAATCCCAAAAGCACGCAAAGGACATGCCCGGAGGCTGCAAGATGCTTAGGCTGAGTTGCTGACATCCTGCATGCATCGACCGATGTTGTGACATACAGACATACATACATAGATGCATTTCGTATCTCCATGACATATACAGATATATGTGATATGAGGACGAGGATGAGTACGTGTGTGTGTACACATATGTCGCATCTGTTGCCCGATCTCTTCGCAGAAAATCCAAGCCCGTGGCTTGGCGCCTGCGCAATGCGAGGGTTGGGGCACCCGCAAAGGAACTGGCATTTGGGAGGCTGATCTGAATTCCGTGCCCTTTTTGGGAAGCCTCCACTGCTAAATAAAAGAAACTTACAAAACAGGAGCCCTCGACAAGGACCCAGAATTCAGATCAACCTCCATGTCGCATCGCTCCCACATCGCCTCAGTGTCCGCTTCCGTCGTGGCTTCGATGAAGAAAGACTGGAGGTTTCGGTACTCGGAGCCTTTCGGTGCTGGACAGGGACGCTGCAGTCACTCGTCCCTGCCGCTCCGCGAACAAAGCTTCCCAATCTAAGCTTCCGTCTGATCTCGACAGGATAGACGCGGGACAGGGAATACTGCTCCTGGCAGGCGGTAACAAGGGGACCTTCCGAATAGGGATGCTGCCTTTACACGTCCCTATTGCAACCCTTCACGGGATATCGGTGCCCACTTCCGGAACTCCCTCCTCAGAACCAGGTAGAGAAAGAAAAAGAAGCTTCCCCCACCATCCTGCAGCGCAAACTTGTGAATGTTCGCAGCCAGGGTCTCCTTGGTCTGCAATTTCCCACATGAGAACCTACAGAACACCCATCCCCAAGATCACATGGGGGATTCGGAAATTCGGGAGTACCTTATTGGGATTCTTCTTATAAGGGAATCCGACTATTTGGGGCCTATCTTAGGGGTCCCCTTATTTTCGTAAACCCCCCACACAAACCGCCACAGCTCTACACCACACAAGGCCCCAAAGGGCTGTTGAGGGGTGTGTGTGTGTGTGTGATGAGTACAAAGCAGGAAATGCTGTACCAGGCTCCAGGAACCTTCTACATCTTGAACAAACACCTACAACGAGCCCCATTTTATGCAACACACTTCCATGCCACAAAAGTATCACATACACTAATATTCCATACTAAAAAATTCACATACTATAAATTTCAGGTAGACATAAGGACCTTCTACGGCCCTTAGTATGTAGTCAGGCAGGCAAGGCTCCAAGAAGTGCTTCTTGCAGACCTCACCGCCAATCTCCAAGGCACGACGCAGGCCATCGGCGAGAAGCTCGCGGGTCAACTCCTCTGCTGCTTGCGGGGTCTTGAGGTGTTGGCGCTGTAGCCTGTTTGGGTTGAGAGTTCAAGGTAGCAGTTTAGGGTTGTATGTAGGGCTTGAGGGACTTGTGGAAGGTGCAGGGATTTATGACTACTTTGCAGTCGCTCTCTGACATGGACAGTGGCCCGCCAGTGGACATATGGACATAGCTTCTGGAAAAGGGGGGTTACTGTGTCACGAACTTGAAGTACTGTCATGAGACCGCCTGGCCTTCGATGGAGTGCCATCACCTTCCGCCAAAGCCTTGGCCAAGGAGTCGGTGAACTCGTTGATGGATTTCACCTGGCATTTCGGCATGTCCCCCCCCATTTTTCAATCTGGGAAGCCACCAAGTAGAACACCCTGTGTGCACGGAAGCCTGCCCCAAGGTGTACCTCATCCAAACACGTAACACCCCATGCTCCAGAAATCCCGGCGCCTGCGAAGCATCCTGCACCGAGAGCATCCGCCTGGAGATTTCAATGCAGAGCACTTCAGGATCTTAGGGAACCTACTGGGCGCACAAGAAGTGTTCCCACATCCGCCTCGAGCTCAGGAGTCTCGACCGCGGTGCAGAAGAGCATAACCCCCAAGTGGGTTCAGGCTGCAGGACAAGAACTGCGCTTATAGTCTCGGATTCGACTTAGGTCGTCTAATCAGTCTCATCTCCAGGACTCTAGGGCCTCCAGGGTCTGTCAGAACCGTGTGATGCCAATTCTTTACTGTCCGGCCGCTAGACGTGCAGAGACTGCCGAAAAAGCGGACATGGAATGGAGATGCGAACGGTCTTGCAACTCCCCGAAAACGCCGCATGAAGGCCGTGGATTGTTTCATAAACCCCACTGAATGTGAAGCTGCGAGCCATGCGGACAGGACATGGGCGATGGCAGCCATTGATCTACAACAGTGTTGGGGTTCATAGTTCACAGCGTCAAGCCCCCAAACCCTGCATGCATACTCATGCTTCCTTATAAGTAAACAGTAGCCATGTAGCAGGACTTTCCTCAACATTCCTAGCCTAACCCTCAAGAGTCCGAAACCTCCAAAAATCCACGAAGCACTCTAAAGAACTGGGTTCCCTACTTGGGGGTCGGTTGCTGTGCTCCCTTCTGAAACCTCTCTCTCATAATAGCAAAGGTGCTGATGCTCACTTGCCCAAGAGTATAGGCTAGGCTTCCGCGGCAAGGAGTTGCCGGAATTCCTCATGTCCGCCGTGATCTCCGAGTCGCAGCTCTAAGTGACTTCCAGCCTGGGCTGCAAAGCACCTGAAGCGTGCTTCGCTGGTGCGCACTCGGAAGAGAAAGCAAAGCATCACGCGCTCGAATAAAGCATGTCATCCTTTCATCCTTCATCCAAGGCACTGACACCAAGCTTCGGCCTAGTGAGAGATAAGTGTACGGGACCTGTCTTGCCCATGTGGAGCCGAGCGCCGCGTCCCAGCATGCAGCTCTTCGGCATCACCTGCCGGTCATTGATCCCATCACCTGCACCTGTCGTCCTCATCCGCAGTTGCAAGTGACAGAAGCTCACGTGGCCTGCAATATCGCCTACAGCGGAGACGCTAGATGCGTAGCAGGGCCACTTCCGACAGGATGTTGATCAAGTGCAACCCCTTCTGCCAGTCCCCACAACGCTCACAGATGTTCACGTCGGAGGCAACCCCAAAGACGTTGGGTTTAGCACGCGTTGCGGGCACACATTTCAGAAAATCCAACGCCCGCTGCCACTCACCAGTTGTTTCGAGTGCCCAAACAGTGGAGGTGCCTGTGAATAGGTCGGGCGCCAACTCGGCAGACATCATCATGTCAAAGATGCTGAGGGCCAGCTCCCACTTCCCACCACGAGCACAGGCAATGATGGCACTGTTGAAGCTAACATCATTTGGGTTAGTCTTCCGCTTCAACATAAGGGACAGGATGGCCAGCGCCTGCTCCCACTGATCTCCTTTCTCTGCCGAGCTGATTGCAGAGCTCATGGCCACCACGTTTGGAAGAATGCGATGCTCAGGCATGATATGCAGGAGCCAGCAGGAGCACTCCCACTCGCATGCATTTATGGCTGATGTGAATGTCACTACGTCGGCACGGGCAGCTTCGTTGAACAGCCTGTGCCGGACGAATGCTGCTACAGAACGCTTCCAAGAAAGAGGATGAACATAAGATCCGATCTTCTTGAGGCGTAAGGTTTGGCGTGTTAAGGCGATTTAGGAAGGCTAAGAAGCGGATGAGGCACGTTGAGAGCATGTGGAGACCACGCATCCACAGGCTGCACTCCTCATACGCACTCATCAAGGAGTTGTACCTGCCGTCACATCTGAGAAAGCAGAAATGTCCTAGCGCGATGCATGCTTGTTGCAAGGCTCTGCATGGGGAACTATTCAGGAAGTGCAGTGAAAATGGCAGCAGATTTATCGAACTTCTTCAGCTGGGTCGCGCGAACGTGTCAGCTGGCATCGCAGGCTGCCCTCGCAATGGCGAGCGAAACATTTCAAGCTTTGGCACAGGACAAGAATCGCCCTAAGGTCCTTCCGAGGCAAGGGCCTCCAGAATCCAACCGTAACATGCCCCCGTGGGGCCCGCTGTAGATGCCAGTAATCACGCGGATTCAGATTCCGTCACAAACGGAATCCCCCCTACACCTTGTCCACCCTTCAGACACTAAAAACCCTAAACCTCACCATTCCTAAACCCTGCAAACCCTAAACATAAACACCCCAAATAAATCCTAAGAACCCTAAACCCCTCATGTGGAAGTATGGGCCCTTGACTGCCCCCCTCATATACAAACAGCCAAGGGCTCATACTCTGAACCCTGTAAAGGACGTAAGGGACCATAAACCTAAACCCTAAACCCTAAACCCTAAACCCTTAGACTGCAAAAGAGGAAGGCCTCCGAAGCCGCTCCTTGCACGACGGGGGTGCAGCAAACACTGCGTGCGCCTCCACTGCGAGCCCTTGCAGGGCCAGAGGGGCTTTGACTAGGGTGGTTTAGGGTTTAGGGTTTAGGGTTTAGGGTTTAGGGTTTAGGGTTTAGGGTTTAGGGTTTAGGGTTTAGGGTTTAGGGTTTAGGGTTCAGCATCTCAAGTCCAAGCATTCACTAGTCAAGCAGCTTGTCAAGCGTTGGAAAAAAAAAACCACCCACCCAAGAAACCCATAACATTGAGAAAATACAAAGTTCACTCAATACATTCCCAGCAGAAAGTTTTCACGGACCCAAAACCCGAAATCTAATCTAAGGCCCACAACAGGCCTAAACCCTACGGATTAGAAGCCCCTATCGGTTACCTATCGGTGAAGGCTCGTGGTCAAAAACCCAGAAAACGATGCCACCCAGAACCGTCGATTTCAGTACTAAAAAATCGCATTTTTAATGGGACCCGGGCCGATCCTGGGGTCCCCCTCATTTGGGGTGTTTTTGGAGGCAAACTTTCCTCCCAAGGGGGGGGTCGGAGTTTGAGGCCAGGGGGGTCTCCGAAGACCATTTTGCCTTTAAAATTGAAAAATACGACCCCCCCTTGACCAAAACTAGGCTGTTAAAAGGTCGCGGGGGCTGCGCTTCATCAGAATTGAGGGTTAAAAGCCCTGAAACATCCTGAAAAACATTGAAAAACTTGAAAAACATTGAAAACCTCTGAAAAACCTTGAAAAAACTTGAAAAAACTCAGGGAAAAGGAAATTCACCATTGCCAACTTTTGAGGCCCGGAAAGTCACCGTTGCCCACTTTTGAGGCCAGGAAAGTCACCGTTGCCCACTTTTGAGGCCAGGAAAATCACCGTGGCCCACTTTTGAGGCCGGGAAAGTCGCCGTTGCCCACTTTTGAGGCCAGGAAACTCACCGTTGCCCGCTTTTGAGGCCAGGAAAGTCACCGTTGCCCACTTTTGAGGCCCGGAAAGTCACCGTTGCCCACTTTTGAGGCCGAAAGTCAACGTTGTTAATTTTTGAGGCCGAAAGTCACCGTTGCCCACTTTTGAGGCCAGGAAAGTCACCGTTGCCCACTTTTGAGGCCCGGAAAGTCACCGTTGCCCACTTTTGATTTGAGGCCCGGAAAGTCACCGTTGCCCACTTTTGAAGCCGAAAGTCACCGTTGCCCACTTTTGAGGCCGAAAGTCACCGTTGCCCACTTTTGAGGCCAGAAAAGTCACCGTTGCCCACTTTTGAGGCCCGGAAAGTCACCGTTGCCCACTTTTGAGGCCCGGAAAGTTACCGTTGCCCACTTTTGAGGCCAGGAAAGCCACCGTTGCCCACTTTTGAGGCCAGGAAAATCACCGTTGCCCACTTTTGAGGCCGGGAAAGTCACCGTTGCCCACTTTTGAGGCCAGGAAACTCACCGTTGCCCGCTTTTGAGGCCAGGAAAGTCACCGTTGCCCACTTTTGAGGCCAAAAAAGTCACCGTTGCCCCCTTTTGAGGCCGAAAATCACCATTGCCCACTTTTGAATTAGGGTTTAAATTCATTATGATAGAGAGGTTTAGGGTTTAGGGTTTAGGGTTTAGGGTTTAGGGTTTAGGGTTTAGGGTTTAGGGTGGTTTAGGGTGGTTTAGGGTTTAGGGTTTAGGGTTCTTTTCGGTTGGTTTCGATTTTTTGGCACCTATTTCAGGGTTATTCTAGGCTTTTGGGATTTTAAGGTTTAGGGCTTTTTTGGGGGGTTTGAGGGGGGTGTCGGGAGCTTAGTGGTCTTGTGTTTTAGGGTTGTGGGCGTACGGCTTTAGGGTTTAGGCAGCCGATTCAAAGGCTTTAGGGTTTGTTTAGGTTTGTAGGGCTTTAGGGTTGTAGGGTGTGGGGTTCCGGGAAACAATGCAACTAGAACATACTGTAATACTCAGGATTATGGTAGTACTGGTAGTAGAACAAGGTATGGTAGGTGGGAGGGGGCGGCAGGGCCGATGTAGCAACTAAAAATCATCATATTTCATATATAGGCGCATGTGAATAATAGCAATAACCATGTCCATCATAACAATGACAAAAACAACAGAAAACATAGCAGTACTATAGTTAAATATCGCTAATCATTGATGGTGGAAGAATACAACAACAACAACAACAACAACAACAACAACAACAACAACAACAACAACAACAACAACAACAACAACAACAACAACAACAACAACAACAACAACAACAACAACAACAACAACAAAAACAACAACAACAACAACAACAACAACAACAACAACAACAACAACAACAACAACAACAACAACAACAACAACAACAACAACAACAACAACAACAACAACAACAACAACAACAACAACAACAACAACAACAACAACAACAACAACAGGAAAAGAAGGCTGCAGAGTCCGAGAATTCTTCTCTCCCTTCATGCTCTATGGCCTTCTCACAGGAACTCATCACTGAGTTGACCTGACTGTCAAGGTTGATCCGCGCAAACAGAAGAAGTTGTCGTCAGCCCCTGTCCTGAAACTGTGGCCACCATACCGGCTCGATCCATTGATCTAGACCACATCCCCCAAGGCTGCTGACAGTGATACCACTGATCTTCTGCTGCGAAAGCCCTGAGCTCTCACAATCTCAAACATCTTCATGTTCCATGTGACTATGAGATGACGAGGCAGCTGAAGGCAGCGCTCATCTGGTCAAACAGATCGATTGCGACAGCCCACTGGCCACCTGCCGGCAACAGACATCTGAGGCTTGCCCAATACTCAACTCTGCCACTCAGGATCTGGCCCTTCTCCATGGCGCTGATGACTGCATTACCGAAAACGACGTCTGTCTGCAAGCCTCATATGAAGGAGGGATGGAGCGGGTCGACGTCTCCAGGACGTGAGTCTCCTGCCTTGGCCACGAAGCTCCGACTCGATGTTCAGAGCAGACCTAGGAATCGGTGTCGCAGAGATGTTGAGGGTTGGGTCAGATTTCTGGGACACCGACCGCCAATACCCTCTAGCCTCCACCGCGCTCGCCAAGGCACTGTACCTCCAGAGCGCACGTTTTTGAGGCATAGCCCTCACCGCCCTACCAGCATTAAGTGCGACAAGCTCTGCTGCCGCCACTGCCCAACGATTCTCCACCGCGGCATACCACGCGACAAAACCGAAGAGCAACCTTGTAGAATGTGCAACCGTGGGGCCGATACAACAACACTGTGTAAACGAGCTTGGGAAGCAGGGCACGTGATCAAGTCTGTCTCGATTGTCACCTCTGTTGCGAGAGGGTGTGCAGATAATTGTGGGACGCGGGAGGCCGCACATTTGCAATGATGTCACGCTGCATGTTCAGAACCTTGCCCCCACCATGCAATCAAGTGTTGTGGCAGCGCGCACCTCAATGGCGGTGGCCCAGCACACGAAGCTTAAAGCGCCGAGTCCAACAATTCTGGTGGCTTTTTGGGGCAGTTCTTCGTGGTTACCTGAGGGCGTGACCCAAGAAAAGGCCTTCTCACATGCACTCAAACTCGAGTTGTAATTCACGACCTTGGCATACAGCACCAACATGTACGGAAAGGGCATGCGCTTCTCCAACCGTACTGGGCTCCTGCATTCGCTTCGACCGTGCGGTCAGCCATTGTGCTGAGCAAGGTTGTTGCTCCTGTCTGAAGTTGCGAGCGCTTCATTGAGAATTACTGCCAAGGAACTGCGCTGTGAGCCTTGCCACATCCCCAAAGTGCTGCACGCACTCAATACGACCTTGCAAAGCTGCAGCCTACATGCAGCGCACCAACAAGCAGCACTGAAGGTCCCCACACCACATGCCACGACATCAAGCCGGAGGCCTCAGCAACTAAAACAATAATAATCATAATAACAATAGTAGTAATAAAAATAAGAATAATAATAGTAATAATGATTATTTAGTAGTTAATTAACGACTTAATTACTTAATTAGTTAAATAACAAATAGCAAAACCTACCGAGGCTACTACCGGCGGTATGAAGATGCGACAACTCCTCGAAGGACCATTGCCATTCTTGCACCTGCGCAGGGACCATTTTCACAGGTTGAGAGCATTTGAGAGCTGTCTCAACAATTCCGAACTCATTGGCGATGTGCAAGTAAGGAAGGCTCGTGAGGCTCGTGGAACACCTAGCCTTGGCGCAGGTGCCGATGCCTGCAGGTTCACTTTCACTTAAGAGCAGAGCCGATAACATGACATGACATTGAAACTGGTTTGTAACCGTTGCTGTTCTATTGTCCTCAGCATCCTCAGCATCATGTTTAGGTTTCTTCGAAGTGGACTTTGCCTTTGCATGCCTACATGAAAACACCCCACAAAGGGAACGCAGCACCCAATTAAGCGAAAGTCTTGCAGATAGGACAACGCAAAGCACACTGCTGAATCACTCCAAGCGACAAGCGCTGCAGATGACCTAATTCACGGCAGAAGTCGCGGATATTTGTACAGCAACTGTATGGCTCCCCAACGCCAACGTGCGCCCAGCACACGTACAACACTGCGACTTCGAGGGCAAGACTACGTCTAACTGCAACTGGTGTTGGCGCAGCTCATTCAACCTGGACATAGCGTGTCTTGGGGAGCTCTGGAAACAAAACATACCTGCCCATCAAGGTGCTGGCTCAAAAAAACAGGTATACTAGGAGCTGGACAAACGCCGCGATTCCCGCCATTGCCCACCGCGACGACACGCCAACACCGCACCTCACGCGACGCAACTGCCGTTCGCACGTCGCGCAAGGAAACGAGCAGCCTGTGAAGTCCCTCAAGTTGCTCAAAGACGGCCTGGCTTTTAGGGTTTAGGGTTTAGGGTTTAGGGTTTAGGGTTTAGGGTTTAGGGTTTAGGGAATGGTGTATGAGCGCATGTATGCCAAGATCCGCAAGCCAACCTGCTTCGTTCACAGCATGTCCCAGATGTGCTCACTTCCATGGCACCACACATGCAGCTACATCCTCGGAAAGTGGATGCGAAGTGGAATGTATTCCATGTGTCTGGGAAATCAATGTGCCTTTCAGCACCGACTCGTGGCTTGAACTTGAACGTCGCGACGCAGGGAGAATTAGCATGTCTCGGGTTCACAAACTTGAAAAACCATCAGAGCAGGTCATAAGCTCTACTTGTGTGGGCCACAAGCACCAGCACGCACCTCCGTTGCTCTAGTGCCCAGACTCCTCCTGCAAGGTCGCCCGGGACGCCTCTTACCTTCAGCTCCCCAGTTGTTGCCGGGATGGCCGAAGATGGCAAAATACAGGCCATCCTGTTGCGATTCCTCCCTCGCAAATGTTCTGGCCTCAAAATCGGCTGCAACGACCTGAAACTGCACTCTGATGCTTTTAAAGCGGGCGCCTCTTTACTACATCAGTAGCACAGTAGGCCGTTCTTGTGGGGCTCGCAACTAGGTGTGAGACAAGGACATCTACTTTGAGAGCCAAACTGTACAAGCCAGCGAGTGAAAAAGAAGTCGTGACTACAAAGAAGCAACCGCAAGCGTTGCAATCTTCAGTCATCCAGACAGGTGGGGTTTTGATTATTTTTTAAAAAAAAATGTGGGAAAAAGGTAAAAAAAAGGTAAATCAAAAAGGTGGAGAAAAAAAAAAAAAAAAAAAAAAAAAAAAAAAAAAAAAAAGCAAAGGTAAAAAAAAATGTAGAAAAAAGGTAGAAAAAATGTAGAACAGAAGTGCCAGAAAGGGAACTACTTTGTGAAGTCAAATCAAGAGTATTAAAGCATATATATATATATATATTTATATTTATTTATATTTATATTTATATTTATATTTATATTTATATTTATTTATTTCAAAAAAAGCCCTAAGGCCGCCTTTAAACTTCAAACTTTGAATGTATACGGATCACCAGGTTTCAAAATTGTGTATTCAATACTAAAATGCCCTAAAACCACGGAGGCCGGGAATTCAGGAATGACCAATGCACGGCTTGCCATGCATTCATAGAATTCATACTCAAATCGTCATGTCACTCGCCCATAACTCAGATACCACATTCAGATGACTTGCTCTTAGTTGTTGAATGCTACTGCTTGGTTCGGCCTTTATCAGTAGACCGCCGCCGTAGATTATCTTATTTATCCTGGCCCTTGTCCGTCTTCACCTCTTGTTCCTGTGGGACTTTGCAGCCATTGAAAGAAGTCATTGTGGCAACCAACTGGATTTCAAACACAAGTGAATATCAAAACGAAAATTCCCCACCCCATCCCCACCCAACCCCCCCACTCCGCCCACCCACTCCAACCCCCCCCCACCCCCCTCCACCCAGCCCAAAGGGGAAAGGGAGGCGGGGCCTGGAAGGGCGCAAGGGTGATTTTGCCAAATACCTTCCCTGCCTTCCTTCTACCTTTTCGCGACCTTTTTCCCACTTTTTTTCAGCAAAATGCGGAAAAAATGTGGAAAAGGGTGGAAAAAAGGTGTGAAAGGTGAAAAAGGTAAAGCTGGAAAAGGTTGAAAAATGCAGCTTCTTCACATTGTAAATAACAACACTCAGAGCTCAGTTACGTCACAGCTTTACAAATGAGTAATCTGAAAACAGTTCCAGACTTCCACCCCTCCAACGGCCAGGTGGCTTAACCTAAGGCGGCCTTGAGCCAAAGAAAGTTTACATTTTAGTGTTAAAATCACACTTTCCAAGAATCCTCGGAATGGAACTAGAACAAGAGAGCTTGTTGTGTATTACGCAAAAGAGCAAGAATAACGCAGATAATCCTGCGGTGCACTTATCCGCGGTTATTTTAGCGGGTGTTTATTCCAGAGCAGAGTTTCTAGCGCTAAGAGCTGCATTATCTGAAGGCCTAAAAGTAATTGCAAACTGCCTCGACCTTCCTTGGAGGGCTCAAGAATTAGACCTCTAAAACTGCTGCTTAAAACTTCTGACAAGGGCCCAGAAGTGCTTTAGCCCCGGTAAACGGCTGCCGGAAGCATGTCTAAAAAGTGACCAGCCTAGCACTTTGCTGTGTTCCGCATTACGTGTACGGGTAAAGCTTAAGCTCTTTGAAAATTGGCCGCTGCGCAAAGCTTCTTGACTCCAACACTTTGCGGCAGCAACACAACCAAACCAACCAAACAACCCACTTGGGTTTTTTGCCTGACGGCAAAATGGGGGTGCGAAGCACTCTCTGCTTGGCATCAAATCAGGGGGCCACATGGATTACATGGCACCATTACCTACGACGGAGCTAAGTGTCCAGGGTTTATTTTCAGGTTTGAGGGTCGGGTTTTTAGGCTCAAAGGTACTCTGTTTGAACCGACAAACAGACGTCGAAGCCAGTCCATTGCTCCTTTCGTGTTTTCGCGTGCCCTAATCATTCATTCAGTCATGACTCATGACATGAGATCATGATGAGCCACGAGTCATGAGTCATGAGTCATGAGATCATCATGAATCAGGAACCATGAATCAGTCACAGTCACAGCCACAGTCACGGCAGTCACGTGAGTCATTGCGGCCGCCGCAACCCATCGGCCACAAACACGGGTCATGAACAATGAAAAACTGCCTTGGTTTCCTTTCAGCTTTGTTCGCGTCGAATCCAGCCAAGACTTCAAACTCAGCCCATCTTTCTTTTCTGCTGTTTGGCTTGACGTGCATTTTTTTCCTGTTTGCAGAAAAGGCTGAAACAAAACCACCAGCAATGAAACAGGACTTCAAAGAACTTGGTCTGTGTTTTTCAGCTGTCCTGGCTTGACACATGCAGGCCACACCATACTTGAGATGCAAATTGGAGATGCTCTTTTGCTACGTTTTTTAAAGCAAACTGTTTTTAAAATTTCAAACATGAAAAAACGTTGAAAACACAGAAAAAAACTGGTTTCGAAGCATTTCAAAGTCTGCAATATGAATAATAATTTTGGAATGCCTTGTTTAGAAACAGAATCGCTCTGAACAAACTTGCCTGAAAAACAAAATCAAAAAAAACGTTAATTGATTTTTGTTCAATTTTTCCTTGTTTGAGAAACATTGTCAACGAAATGAACAAGATGATCCATACTAACTTTTTGAAACTGAGCCAACCGGCTTGCTTTGGATCAAAATTTAACATATTGAAAATCTTAAAAAACATTAGAAAAAACGCGGCGTTCAAAAAAAACAGAATGTATTTTGTGGAAGTCATGAGTTATTTTTTTCCTCCACTGCTTCTTCGACGCAACAGCGCCCCAGTAAGCTAGAGCAATGAGATTCAAAGAGGGATGAGACGGCGCACCTACCATCAAACCAACATCAAACGAAAGTGCAAAGACATGGGAGTCATGAGTTATGAGTCATGAGTCATGTCATAGTCATGAGTCATGAGTTATTGAGTATGACTCATGTCCACGGCCGCCACCACCACCCACGCGTCGCCGTCGCGGTCTGCAATTGCGGTCGTCGCAGCCCATCTACCGGTTTCCGTGTTCGCGCTCAAAGCCAAGACTTTAAAATCAGCCCATTTTTTTTTCTGCTGCTTGACTTGACGTGCATTTTTCCTGTTTGCACCTGCAAAGGCTGAACAAAGCTACCAGCAAAGAAACATGGCTTGACACATGCAAGGCAACACCAAACTTGAGCAAATTGAAGATGCCCTGTTCAGCAAATTATTTTTGCAATTTCAAACATGAAAAACATTTGAAACCAGAAAACACTGGTTTCGAAGTTGCCTTGGTCAAAGAAGATTGTTTTCAAAATTTCCAAAAATGAAAAAAACATTTAAAACAGAAAACACTGGTTTTCAAGCATTTCAAAGTCTGCAGTGTAAATACTAATTTTGCAATTTCCTTGGTTCAGAAACAAAATCGCTTAAGCACAATTCTGAAACATCAATTGATGTTTTTCTTTCAACTTTTCCTTGTTTAAGAAACATTGTTAACAAAATGATCTAAAAACAAAATAAGCCTTACTAACTTTTTGCAACTAAGCCAACCGGCTTGGTTTTTTGGATCAAAATTTTAAATTTTGAAAATTTTCAAAAAACATTGTCAGAAACGCGGCGTCCAAACAATCTGGAATGCATTCTGTGGAATGGTTGTTTAAAAACAAATCATTTTGGAATTCCTACATGCTATCTTGCCAGGTAAAATGGGAGCAAACAAAAAAGTTTCAACAAAAGGAAAAAAACACATTTTTCATGGCCCAGCGACGCCTGCAAACAATGAAAATTACTCCAAAAACCTTGAAATGTAAAAGTTTCTAAACAGCACAAACCCAACCTACACACAGCTTCGCACTTGCACAGCACTTTCTCACACAAAGCGACGTGCAGTTGTCCTGCCTTCTTAGTGCTTTCTCAGCTCTCTTGACCTTGAGCCAAAAGTCAAAAGTAAAACTGGAAAAACCCAGTTGACGCCACCTACGCAAGCTCACTTCTCCTACAAAACAAAATCTCAAGGAAAAACATGCTCGACTGTTCAGGGAAGACCTGTACGTCCCGGACATACAGTAAGCACGTCAAACATGCGCCTTGGCCAAAAAGGCATCCCGCAGACGTGTCTATACACAGATTTTCACACCCCCTTTCGGGATGATCTTTTTGTCTCACCTCACTCTCAGATGACGACATCTTCAGATGATCACTCCAATCTCAGAGGTCTGTTCCCTGTCACACATGTCGAACACGGAGTGATGCATGTCGGGTTGGAGGTAACGGCCGCCACATGCTTGCAGTACACACTGTGATATTTGTCCCCGGACGGGAACACACACAGTTCTGTGTTGCCCGGCTCTGGCTTACAGTTCCCACACTGCCACATAGTTCGCCATGATCCCTCCATGCGATGACATGTCTGATCGTGATGAAAAATGCCCTGAGATTCAGAAGCAAAGATGCGCTTGTCCACTCTATCCTTGCAGCTGGAACTTGCATGCTTCTCCCTTGCACCAGCTGCCTTCGGCCTCGCTCTCAACGACGATGCCTCCTTTTTACCATCTGGCTCACGAGGGTT